ACACACGCACACGCTCTCACACCCACTCTCACACACACACACCCATTCACGAACCCACTCTCATCCGCACTCACACACAGTCACCCACAAACTCTCACACCCACTAACAAACCCACTCTCACACACACACACCCACTCACCCCCCCACACACACACCCCCACTCACAAACCCACGGTAATCTCCGTCCAACGCTAAGGAGGCAAAATCAGCCAAACGTTTCCCGATGGCTATTCAAAGGGCCCTATTTATTCCACCAACGGTCATTTACTCTCATAGAAGTCCATTAAAGTGCCCTCTCAAGACCCCCAGCCCATTGTACGAATTCTACGGCAATATCCCTCGTCTCGAGTCGGCCTAAGGGGTTAAGGTCGTTTACGATACAAAAGGAAATTGCGATTGAATTTGATAGCGGATTTGATGGTGGAGAGAGTCCATTGATTCTCACTTTAATAGATATCGTATGACAGCGGTGGTGGTAGTGGTGGAGAGTTCAATGGAGTGGACTTTAACATGCATCTTATCATAGTGATGGTGGTGCTGATTGTCCAACATTTCTCACTTGAACATATCTCTAAACGTTGATGGTGGAGATAGCTAAATGGAGCTCACTTTAACAGACATCTTATCATAGTGATGGTGGTGGAGATAGTCCAACATTGCTCGCTTAAACAGATATCTTATTAGTGATGGTTGAGATATTCCAATGGAGATCACTTAAACATACCTCTTAACATTGATGGTGGAGATAGTCAAATGGAGCTTACTTTAACAGGTTTCTTATCAGTGGTGGTGGAGATAGTCAAATGGAGTTCACTTAAACACATTCCTGCGGAGGGAGCTGGTAGGAACGTTGGGTTGCTCGGTCAATGGCCTGCAGGGTCAACGGCGGCGTGGTGTATTCCGCAAATATGCCCGACTGTGAGGGCGGGCACAAGCCGGCGTGAGTAGGTTAAACGTTGAGTTTTATAAGGGCACCACGGGGTGACCAGCCCCACCCCCCACCCAGCCCCTCCCCACCCCCCACCCAGCCCCTCCCCACCCTCTCCACCCAGCCCCTCCCCACCCAGCCCCTCCCCACCCTCTCCACCCAGCCCCTCTCCACCCAGCCCCTCTCCACCATCTCCACCCAGCCCCTCCCCACCCAGGCCCACACCCCACCCAGCCCCACCCCCCACCCAGCCCACCCCCACCCAGTCCCTCCCCTCTGCACCCAGCCCCACCCTTCCCATTTTGGATGCACGACGGACGGACGGACACAATAATCCCCTGTGGGCTGGTGTAACCAGGAGGTTCCTACCAGTAACAGATCTCTCATCAGTGGTTGTAGAGGGCGCAGCTAACAATTGCCCAAGCTCTGCCGCCCTCTATATATTGATGTTCAGCCAATTTACTCGACAGAGTGTCACCATGTGGAGATGGAACCAGAGCGCAGCTGGAGAAAGTCCACGCAAGCGTCGGGAGTAGCAGCGTGGGACACGTGGAAGAGGTTAGTCCCAGAGGTCGCAACCGGGTACCCGATACCCGTACCCTACCCGATACCCGGCTACCTGTACCCGGCCGGGTACGGGTAGCCGTTTGCGACCCTGGTGCGGCCGGGTACGGGTAGGCCGTGAGTCACTGGTGAGTAACCGTTTGTCACTCATTTCCCAACGTCTTGCCTCTTCTCACAATTCAAGTTCCTAGAATCAACCCACCCGCGCCTGCAACATGGCTTCATCCCAGAGGTCGCAATCAGGTACCCGATACCCGTACCCTACCCGGCCGGGTACGGGGTCGGGTACCCGTTTGCGACCCGTGGTGCGGCCAGGTACGGGCAAGGAATCAAAACCCGTCGTGAGAATTATTTTAATATTTTATTTTTATTATTTCCATTCTACGTAACTTTACCGAAAGAACCAAGAAGATGAATCAAAACCCGTTTGCGACCTCTGGTTAGTCCTCATTTGGGGCTCCGTCGCGTTCCCCTGGAAAGCCACAGGATGGATCCTCCTCCGACGCCCCACGGAACGGGAATTTGGCAACATTCGCGTGATCCACCAACACTCTCCCACCGCCCCAGCGCGCTGGGTTACAGGCCACGCACGCGTGTAAGCCACCACCGGCTACACGCGTGCGTTTAAAGCGCATTTGGCTGCTCAAAAGTACGCACATTGATTCCTTCCGAGGCCACAATGTGTTACCGACTAACGTGTTCCCGAGACGATTTAATTGCGCGCGCGCCACCACCACCAACGAATTTCTCCGCAAAGATCGGCGGTGACCACCACAATCTCGACACACGAAGACACAACGGGGGTAGCGGTGGGGGGGGGGGGTCTTCTGCCGTGGCGTTTTGTCACGAGGACGCCGTGAGGCCTTTGTGGACGGTGCCGTCAGCTGGGGAGGGACGCGCAGTGTGAGTCTATGGGGATGTGTTGGAGTCTATGGGAGTCTATGGGGGTCTGGGAGTCTATGGGTCTCTGTGGGTGGCTGTGTGAGTCTATGGGTTTCTGTGTGAGTCTGTGGGTCTCTGGGAGTCTATGGGTCTCTGTGCGAGTCTATGGGTTTATGTGTGAGTCTATGGGGGTTTGGGAGTCTGTGGGTCTCTGTGAGAGTCTATGGGTCTCTGTGCGAGTCCATGGGTGTCTGTGGGAGTCTGTGGGTCTCTGGGAGTCTATGGGGGTCTGGGAGTCTATGGGTCTCTGTGGGAGTCTATGGGTCTCTGTGGGAGTCCATGGGTGTCTGTGTGAGTCTATGGGTTTCTGTGGGAGTCTATGGGGGTCTGTGTGAGTCTATGGGGGTCTGTGTGAGTCTATGGGGATCTGGGAGTCTATGGGTGTCTGTGGGAGTCTATGGGTCTCTGTGGGTGTCTGTGGGAGTCTATGGGTCTGTGAGAGTCTATGGGTGTCTGTGGGAGTCTATGGGTCTCCGTGAGAGTCTATGGGTCTCTGTGTGAGTCTATGGGGCTCTGTGTGAGTTTATGGGGCTCTGTGTGAGTCTATGGGTCTCCGTGAGAGTCTATGGGGCTCTGTGAGAGTCTATGGGTTTCTGTGTGAGTCTATGGGGGTCTGGGAGTCTATGGGTCTCTGTGGGAGTCTGTGGGTCTCTGTGGGAGTCCATGGGTGTCTGTGAGAGTCCATGGGTGTCTGTGGGAGTCTATGGGTTTATGTGCGAGTCTATGGGGGTCTGGGAGTCTGTGGGTCTCTGTGAGAGTCTATGGGTCTCTGTGCGAGTCTATGGGTCTCTGTGGGAGTCCATGGGGGTCTGGGAGTCTATGGGTCTCTGTGGGAGTCTGTGGGTGGCTGTGTGAGTCTATGGGGCTCTGTGGGTCTCTGGGAGTCCATGGGTCTCTGTGTGAGTCTATGGGGGTCTGGGAGTCTATGGGTCTCTGTGGGAGTCTGTGGGTGTCTGTGGGAGTCTATGGGGCTCTGTGGGTCTCTGTGTGAGTCTGTGGGTCTCTGGGAGTCCATGGGTCTCTGTGTGAGTCTATGGGTCTCTGTGTGAGTCTATGGGTCTCTGTGGGAGTCTGTGGGTGTCTGTGGGAGTCTATGGGGCTCTGTGTGAGTCTGTGGGTCTCTGGGAATCCATGGGTCTCTGTGTGAGTCTATGGGGGTCTGGGAGTCTATGGGTCTCTGTGGGAGTCTGTGGGTGGCTGTGTGAGTATATGGGTCTCTGTGGGAGTCTATGGGTGTCTATGGAACTGTGGGTCTCTGTGCGAGTCTATGGGTCTCTGTGCGAGTGTGTATGTTGAACTTTTTTCGCACCACACGTAGCCAACCCCGACTAATTGGAGGTGCTGGGGAAGGTCAACTATGGGTCTGTGTGAGTCTACGGGTCACTGTGCGAGTCTATGCAAGTTGAACTTCTTTCGCACCGTACGTAGCCCGACCACGGCGAATCGGAGGTTGCCGTGTGACGCGTCGACGCGCCCGGCTCAGCCAAGGAGCGCGAGCTGAGTTCCCGATCGCGGAGTCCTCTGAACGGCCCCCCCACCTCCCCCAACCCCCCCACCCCCAACACGCCACCAGCAATCGACCGCTGGCGCCTGTGGCTGCTGGCGTTGCTGCCCTAGACGCCTCACCGACGGCCTCACCGACGCCCTCACCGACGGCCTCACCGACGCCCTCACCGACGGCCTCACCGACGGCCTCACCGACGGCCTCACCGACGCCCTCACCGACGGCCTCACCGACGCCCTCACCGACGGCCTCACCGACGGCCTCACCGACGCCCTCACCGACGCCCTCACCGACCCCTCACCGACGCCTCACCGACCCCTCACCGACGCCTCACCGACCCCTCAGCGACGCCTCACCGACCCCTCACCGACGCCTCACCGACCCCTCACCGACCCCTCACCGACGCCTCACCGACCCCTCACCGACCCCTCACCGACCCCTCACCGACCCCTCACCGACCCCTCACCGACCCCTCACCGACGCCTCACCGACGCCCTCACCGACGCCTCACCGACCCCTCACCGACCCCTCACCGACCCCTCACCGACGCCTCACCGACGCCTCACCGACCCCTCACCGACCCCTCACCGACCCCTCACCGACCCCTCACCGACCCCTCACCGACCCCTCACCGACCCCTCACCGACCCCTCACCGACCCCTCACCGACCCCTCACCGACCCCTCACCGACCCCTCACCGACCCCTCACCGACCCCTCACCGACCCCTCACCGACCCCTCACCGACCCCTCACCGACCCCTCACCGACCCCTCACCGACCCCTCACCGACCCCTCACCGACCCCTCACCGACCCCTCACCGACCCCTCACCGACCCTCACCGACGCCTCACCGACCCCTCACCGACCCCTCACCGACCCCTCACCGACCCCTCACCGACCCCTCACCGACCCCTCACCGACGCCTCACCGACCCCTCACCGACCCCTCACCGACCCCTCACCGACCCCTCACCGACCCCTCACCGACCCCTCACCGACCCCTCACCGACGCCCTTCCGCTCCTCCGTGGACGTGGAACCGACGACGCAGCAGCGGCGGGAATTAGACGTTGCACACTTTATTAGGTATTACTTTATTTTTGCATTTCATTTTAACTGCTTCGGTTGTGTACTGCTTTACAAACTTTGAACAGCTTTTCAAACGAAAAAAAAAATGTCCTCGGCGATTCTGTTTCCGTGTTATTTTTCGTCGATGTTGTTATATATCTTTTTTTTTGGAGTTTTCATTTTATTCGTTAATCAGGCAATTTTTTTTATTTTATTATTCCGTAACCCCCGCGCGTCTCCCTCTCCTCCGTCCTCTTCCCCGCTCCCGGCTCCGACCAAGCGCAAAATCAGGAGGAACACCCCAAGTGCTCGTGTCGTTACGCGAGAGAGAGAGAGGCAGAGAGGGGGCGGACGGAGCAACGCTTGCGACTTGCCAATGATTTCCACGGTGAAATGCTCGAGCATCTAGGCACACGTACACGCGCTCTCACGACACGCCCTGGGCCGGAGAACTCCTCGCCCCGGAATCCCAACGGATCACCCCCCCCCCCCCCCCATCCGGTTCTCTTCCCCGCCCCAGAATCCCAAATCCATCTCCGGAACACTCTTTTCCCCGCCCGGGAATCCCAACAATCCCCGACTTGTTTCGCTCACCGGAACCTCAACGATTCTCGACTTCTTCTTTTCTCTCCGGAATCAAAGCGATTCCCGTATGCCCCCACCCCCCACTCCCTCCCTTCCCGCATCAGAATCCCAACGATTCAGGACTTGTTTCCTTTCTGGAATGCCAACGATTCCAGACTCGTTTTCTCTCCAGAATCCCACGCAATTCCAGAATGCGTTTTCCCCGGCGTGGGGAATCTCCAACGATCCCAAAAACATTTTTCCCGGCACGGGGAATCTCCAACGATCCCGGAGTTCTTTCACGCCCCGGATGAAATTCCCCCGTCGATTCCCGGGGGCTTGTATATACGGTGCCACGCTTTAACACCAAACTAAACTTTTGGAGAAAAATGAAATACAAAATAGATGGCGGGCGGGCGACGCATTTTCTCTCCCCACCCAATATCTTCAGTTATTAATTTTTTTTTTGGTAAAATTATCGCTTCCAAGGTTTACCGCCTTAACACAAAAAAAATTCAAAGGGACAAGGCGCGCGATTACAAGCAACATCTCAAAAGGCTGATGATCAGTTTGGGGGGGGGGGGAGGGGGGGGGTGAAGGAATGGAAAATGAAAAAGGTGGGGAGGGAGGGTGGTAGGGGGAGGCGGGGTAAGGATGTGTGCAATTTCCCATCTTGAAATAAAACGAGCAAGATTTTTTGAAAAATTGGAGAAAAAAAAACAAACCCCAAAGTTGACGTCGTTGAACTCGCCCCTCTCCCCCGCATCCCACCCCCCCCCCCCTCCCTCCTCCAGTGCCGTTCGGCGGCAAACCAAAAATAAACAAAGCAGCGGCAAATCTTCTCCGAGCTGATGATGGCGACACACACGTGCACCCGGATACCACACACACACTCAGGCAGGTGCACACACACACGCACCACACAGATCCTCGCCCCCACCACACACAGACTCTACAGGGCAGGCGCTGTTAGCGGAGTAGCAGCAGCACCTATTGAAGGCCGGCACAGCACAGGAGGGGGGGGGGGGGTCCAGGGTGGCCAGTACGATGTTGAGGCCACGCTTTGTCTCCCCAGTGGCGATGTTTACTACACACCGCACCCAGGTACTCATTTGAGGCCGAGTCGACCAAGGGGAGGACCAGGATCGGTTCAGATAATCGTCACCGATGTTGGTGGCCGTGAGAGCGGGTCGCCGGGTTCGTAGCGCAGCGTTGCGCTAACCGCTGCCCACCACTGACACACACGCACGCAAACACCTCCCGACACAAAAAAGCAGATGCGCGCGCGCGCACACACACAAGGTCACACATCTGAAACCACACTGACACACAAGCCGAAAAACGGCACACAGATACCACCTACGTGGATAGCCACACAGAGAAACATGGACACACACGCGCACGGACGCATGAAGGCACACACACACACACATCCTCGCACGCACAGGCAGAGAGACAGACAGACCACTGAGGGCCCAGGGACATGCGGGAGGGGGGTCAGGCAAGGCAAAGGTGACCGGATGGAGCTGGGCGAGCTGGGCAGGGTGACAATGCCGTAGGGGAGGGGGGTTGAGGAGGATGGTGGTCGGGAGTGGTGCGATGCGGCACGGGTGGCCTATTGCAGCTGACGGGGCAACGAGAGAGAGAGAGCTGATGAGCACGTGGCGCGTGGGGCCGGCTGCGTTATAAACACGGGGGGGCGGCAGGGGCCCGGCAGAGCCGTGGCTGAGCGTGCGGTTGAGCGGTAGCGGCGGCATGCGCCGGCGCCGACGACGGGGGTCGGACACACGGGGGTCAGACACGCGGCGGCTGTCCCACCCCCCCCGACGCGTCGCGAGTCTACGCCGCCGCCGCCGCTCCTCGCTCGCCCGGCACCACTTTACTCGGCCACCCCGACCTGACGCAGCACTCGCTCCACGGTGAAGCCCTGCGCACGCACACACACGCACACACACGCACGCGCACACACACGCACACACACACGGGGGGAGAGGTCACGGGCGGTCGGACGCAATCGGAGGCCAGGAGCGCGACCGGTAGATGTGGCCGGACGAAACTGAACGGAACGTGACGGCGGTCGCCGCTGGCATCGCGCGCCAATCTGCGACGGCGGCCGGCAGGCGTGTGACACAATTGCCGTGAGGACGGTTGTAAATTCTGAGTTTAAGAATTAAAAGGCAGGTTGGGGAAAAAAAACAAGCGGACTAATCACCATCTGTTACGTCTGTTTGGGATAGAGCGTTGCCCCCCCTCGCACGCTCCGGTTTCCTCTCACGTTTAAAACATTCATCAAGTGTTCTTGGTTCTTTCGGTAAAGTCACGTAGAAGGGAAATAATAAAATAATAAAAATAAAACATAATAAAATACAATTCTCACGACGTTTCGGCCACAACGCAAGCAGCCGTCCTCAGGTGAAGAACAGGTCTTTCGTCATCATCGGCGAATGTTCATTCAGACGCTGTCTTTCCGACAGACCTGTTCTTCACCTGCGGACGGCTGCTTGCGTTGTGGCCGAAACGTCGTGAGAATTATTTTATTATGTTTAATTTTTATTATTTAATTACTTCCCTTCTACGTGACTTTACCGAAAGAACCAAGAAGATGAATCCCTGCAGTCACGAAAGCTTTAAATCGAAAGTCGTCATTTGTTTCATTTTATTTCTAACTACGTGACTTTACCGAAAGAACAAACGAGTTTTATTGTTATTGTTGTGTTTGTTATTCAAACACCTGGGCCCCCCTCCTCCTCCTCACCTTGGTGCTGTCTGGGCCGCGAGGCTGTCGCGTGACGGTGAGGCGCGGGGCGCTGTTGTCGTCCAGGGTGAGGCTCTTGAGACGGCTCACCAGACGCTCTGGCCGCGGGGACGGAGTCATCTTCGACGCCTCGCTGCGTGTCGGGGGGCCGACAAGGGGGGCGGGGCAGGGGCGGGCAGGAAGTTGGCAGAGGGGCAGGGAGGGGGCAGGTGGCAGAGGGGTAGGCGAGTCGATCAGAGGGTGTACTTTCAAACCCCTGGGGTCTGGCGTCTCTCACTTGATCGCCCTCTTCTCAGATGCGATTAAACTGGACAATGATGATGATGTAGATGCACAAACGGGAAATTGACAAACTCTCCGCGCAGTGCCAGAATAGAACCGTGGACACGTCATGACGTCGACTCGGTGAGCGAGTCACAAACACGGAGAGGGGGGCGGGGGCGTCACAACACTCTGCTACTCCTGATGCAATCATCTGGCTCGACCACTACAGCGAGTAAAATCATAGCTGTTGCTCTAAGTCCACATCAGTCGTACGTAACTAGCCGTGCTAATGAGAGGTGCGGAGGAAGGATAACAAACTCTGTGTCTCCGTGCGAGTCTATGGGTCTCCGTGTGGGTCTATGGGTCTCCGTGTGAATTAATGGGTCGCTGTGTGAGTCTATGGGTCTCTGTGTGAGTCTATGGGTCTCCGTGCGAGTCTATGGGTCTCCGTGCGAGTCTATGGGTCTCTGTGCGAGTCTATGGGTCTCCGTGTGAGTCTATGGGTCTCCGTGTGAGTCTATGGGTCTCCGTGCGAGTCTATGGGTCTCCGTGTGAGTCTATGGGTCTCCGTGCGAGTCTAAGTCTCCGTGCGAGTCTATAAGTCTCCGTGCGAGTCTATGGTTCTCCGTGCGAGTCTATGGATCTCCGTGCGAGTCTATGTATGTATAAAATGTTGACCTTCTTTGGCACCGTACGTGCCAAAGGGACGAACGAGAAGCAGACTCGTCATCGCGGCGACGATTTCGTCACGTCAATGGGAGTGCGCGAAAGCTTAGCGGCCGAGGCGCGCGCAAGCGTGTCGGCGTACCCGATGCGGCGCACGTTGCAGGCACTGCTCTTGCTGGTGCGCGGGTTGAAGACGACGTGGAACTCCACCTCGTCGTTGGGCATCAGCTCGAGGCCGTCCAGCACCTCGCTCACGTGGAAGAAGAGCTTCTTGCTGTCGCCGACCTCGTACGCGATGAAGCCGAACTGAGCGCGTGCCGGACACGGAGGAAAGAAAAAATGCACAGCGATCAGAATCGGAGTCTGATTCCGATTTATCCCGGAGGAGGAGTGTCGTCGATGGGTGACGTGCGTTCGGTCGGAGTACGGGGTCGGCGGGTGACATCGACAAACCGTACCAAACAAAAGTCGCTAAATATAAAGGAGACAAGTGTAAGGGTTACACGGCGTCACAAAAAGTCAGACCCTGAAATATGATGTCACAAAGCTCTACCCACCCCCCCCCCAAAAAAAAAATGCTTCAAATCGCTTTAAACTATGTTGTAGGAGAAAACATTTATTAAAAAGTCTATTTGATTAAGTAGAACGTGTTGTCTATATTTATTTATAAAGTTGCGTATTTTGAGTGACGTCACATTTCTCAAACCCCCCCCCCCCCCCACCTCGTCACACATCGTCACAAATGTCTGACCCCCCCACCCCCAAGGTGCGTGCCGCCTTTGCACGCGTACATCAGCTAAAACGTGGGGTGGTTCTGGGAATGCTGCCTTGCCCCCAAAGCTTGTGTTTTGGGTGTCGACAAATCGGCAAGAATTTACGAATCGTATTTGGCCGCCGTGAATGTCCACGGGATGATGCCGCTTCATCGTTGAGCCATAATTCGTGGCCCAGGTGGGTCAGTGTCTGTCAAAAAAACCGAGCTACAGAGCTCAGCAGGGGGGCCTTACCTGTTAAATAAAAACATAGTTTGGAAGGCCTCACCACAGAGACGATCTCCCTCTCTGTGCCTATGTGTTGCTCTCTCTCTATGTATCTTGGTGATATCTGTCTGCTTATATGTCTGTCTATAGTTTTCTGGTTAGATTTTTGTTGCCATTTCATTTATACCTGATGATTGCTTGTGTTGCAATCGAAACATCGTATGCTATTATTTCATTTATTATTTTATCTTTACACATGATTTTACCGAAAGAACCAAAGAGTAGTTGGAAGCAGTAGTTAATTAACGCCACGCCCGCAGTATTAACTGGGGCGGACACCCGGTCTGGAACCACGGACCCCCACACTCCATGCAATAACGCGAAGGATAGCGGAGTCCCACTTACCTCACTCTTGACTGAGTCGATGTAGGCCCTCTCGAGCTTGCGCATGGGCGTGATGTTGCAGGCCATGAGCGCCCCCCCAGTGGCCGTGACGGTGCACAGCTGGAACTTGACGTTCTCGCCCTTCTGCAGGTACTCGCAGCGGCTTGCCAGCCCCACCACGCCGTACGGGAAAGTGTCGCCCTTCAGGGCACCTGCAACAAATACGCGAGTCGATCGATCGCTCGCAAGAGCGGCAAGATTCTAGCTTGCTTTCCAACAGGGTATGCTATTCCATCGCACACCTCCCGCCCAGCGCACCCGATTTGATTTGTCTAGAACAGGGGCGGGGAAACTTTTTTCTGCCAAGGACCATTTGTGTATTTATAACATCATTCGCGGGCCATACAAAATCATCAACTTAAAAATTAGCCTGTTATATTTGTTCTAGATTTTAAGCTTTCGTGACTGCAAGGATTCATACTCTTAGTTCTTTCGGTAAAGTCACCATGTAGGTAAAAAATGAAATTAAAATTAATAAAAATAAAATGCAGCTAATCTGGCTGTGACGGTCCCACCTGATGACGGAGACTTGTGTTGCCTCCGAAACGTCGTGATTTTATTGTTTTATTTTTATTAATTTTTATTTCATTTTTTACCTACGTGACTTTACTGTTATATTTGGCCAAACATTCAATTAACTTTGGCGAGGCGTGTGATGTTAGCTGGTATTGATGATTCTAGATTTGAAGCTTTCGTGACTGCAAGGATTCATACTCTTAGGTTTTTTCGGTAAAGTCACGTAGGTAAAAAATTTAATTAATAAAAGTAATAGAAATAAAATAATAATAGAAAAATAATTTATTATTTTATTTTATTTCTATTATTACTTTTATTAATTTTAATTAAATTTTTTTTCCTACATGACTTTACCGAAAAAACCAAAGAGTATGGTATTGATGATGTTGCTACTTCGCAACTGCTTTTCCAGGTTTGCTCCTAGATTTGTTGAATTTCGAGTCCCGCCTGCGGTTGCCTTGGCAGGGCCACACCAAATGATTTGGGCCGGACGTTCCCCACCCCTGGTCTAGAAGAACACCCCCACAGTGGCAGCCCTTCCTGTGCGGCAAAAGGTTGACAGGGCAACTGGCCCCCGAGCGGGCATGAGTTTGTCAGTAAGGAGGCGATGATTGCCGTTACGTGGTCTAGCCTCGGACACACCCCCATTGGCAGCTCTCCCTGTGCGGGGCACAAGGTTGACTTGGCATCACGTGAAAAGTGGCGTACCACAGTGGCGAGGAGATGTTAACTACCTCGCCTGGTATACAGGAGGTCGTGGGTTCAATCACAACCCTGACCCCCGGTATATTTGAAGTTTGCATGTTTTCCCTGCGGAACGTGAGGATTTTTCCCCGGGTCCTGCGGTTTTTACATCCAACATTGGCAATCGATGTCACGCGTTTGGAGTATATGGCTGCTACACATTTCCACGTGATCATGTGTGGCCGGGTCGCTTCTGAAAAAGAGCTACGCAGTTTCGGTGGGAGGGCCTTACACCACCGGGCGAAATAAAAAAAATAGTCCAGCTTTGTGAAAAGCGATTCCCCAGAATCGCTCGCTTAAAAGGAGACTCTACAAAAAAATAAATCGCGATGGCCGTCAAGGTCCGTGCGATCGCAGGTCGGCATGTTCAGCTAGGTGGGGGAGGGGGGGGGGGGTGAAAGGTACGCACAGTCCTCGGTGACCTCCACCAGCCCCTGGTATTCGGCCTGCTGGGGATCGACGCTGCGGAGAGGCCGGGCCACCTTGCCCAGGTAAATCGTCGGCTGCACGTCGTCCTTGGGTACGTTTCCTGCGTGGGGAGGGAGGGAGATGGGGGCCCACAGACATCCCGGACACGTGTCTTTTTCACGAACCCGCGTGCTTTTCAGACGGCGAGCTTTCGGTAAAGCCGTCGAACAAAGGACGGGTCGGTCTTCGCCGCGTCGCGCGGCGCTTCAAGGTGCGCTTCCGCGGCCCTCTGGAAAGCTCTTGCCTTCCGATATTAGGAAGCCACTGGGCAGCTATGCACTTTTAAATCATCATCACCATCATCATCTAGATTGATAAACTCATTTCATTAGAACTGTTGTCACACCCCCCGCACCTCCGATTAGCACGGTTGGCTACGTACGTTGAGCGAAAGATGTTCAACATACATATAAACCATCGTAAAAAAAACGCTGCCCCAACCGCCCACCTTCACGAGTGGACAAAGGCACGTCCCACTACAGCCGGGCCATGCAGTTTAACGCCGTGCCAGGCCACGGTCATGTCATGCCGAGCCACGCTCTGCCATGCCAAGTCATACTTTTTCATGCCGTGCCAGGCCATTCCAGGCCATGTCAGACCACACCGCATCACGCGGAGCCAAAAATTGTAAATGTTGTGGTTTTACTCTTCAACACACCGGTGGGCTAAAGCAGTGAACTATTTGTCTTTTGTCAACGTGACACTTTTTTGCTGATTGGCCGTGTCGGGTGGTGGAGGGTTACGACACATTTATAAATAACGCGATCTAACCCAAAAACGTTGATTATGAATTGTTTTAATGTGTGTTACACTCTCCTTTTTTGTATTTGGATGGCCACCAACTTTGGCTAAAACAACATGTGCACCTTTAGCATGTGACCTGTTGTTCTCTTATAGCCCCCCCTCCCCCCCAATACGTTCCATTCATTGGCTACCACACTCAGATAAGCTCCTCCCCCCCTCCTCCCCCCCCTTAACTTGTATTTAAGAACTTGTATCTTGAAATGTTTTGCCTCACTTCATACAGTAAATCTAGCTGTGACAGTCCCACCTGACGGCGGAGAGACTTGTGTTTCCCCCGAAACGTCGTGATTTATTATTTTATTTCTCTTCTTGGTTCTTTCGGTAAAGTCACGTAGAAGGGAAGTAATAAAATAATAAAAATAAAACATAATAAAATTATTCTCACGACGTTTCGGCCACAACGCAAGCAGCCGTCCTCAGGTGAAAACCAGGTCTGAGGATGGCTACTTGCGTTGTGGCCGAAACGTCGTGAGAATTATTTTATTATGTTTTATTTTTATTATTTTATTACTTCCCTTCTACGTGACTTTACCGAAAGAACCAAGAAGATGAATCCCTGCAGTCACGAAAGCTTAAATCGATATTTTATTTCTATTATTACTTTTATAATTTCAGTTTTTTGGTTTTTTACCTACGTGACTTTACCCAAAAATCCTAAGATAGTGTGTCACACGATGCCATTCTGCGCCAGGCCACGCCGTGTCTCGCCGAGCGATGCTGAGCAACGCTACGCCGGGCTGCGTGACGCTACGCTGTGCTAGGCCACGTCCAACCAGGCCAAGCCATGCTGAGCAACGCTACGCCGGGCTGCGTGACGCCACGCTGTGCTAGGCCACGTCCAACCAGGCCAAGCCACCCCGTGCCGCCCCGGTCGGAGCGACTCACCGCTGGTGATCTTGGACACCTTGTCAGCGCTCGTCTTGTTCGCCTTGGTCTTGGACAGCGAGTACTCCACGGCGTCGCCCACCTCCAGCAAGTCCACGTCGCCGTTGTACTCGCTGTGTACGCACACGCACACAGATTCCCCCCCGTATAGGCTCAACGGAACGTTGGGGCCAGAGTGCTGTTAGCAGACCGAGCAGCAGCTACGAAGGCCAATACGGTACACAACAGGGGATGGGGGTGGTCAGCAACACGCCCGGCCACCTTTGTCTCCCCGGTGATGATGTTTGATACACACCGCACCAGGCACTCGTTTAAAAGGCCGAGCCGACGTAGGTTCAGATAATCTTCACCGATGTTGGCTTTTGAGCAGGATTCAAACTCGGGTCTCCGGGTTCGTCGTGCAGGGCTAACGATTGCACTACCGCTCTCCCCACGCGTGCACACACACGCGCACACATATGCAGGCGGTCCCCCCGCCCCCCCACTCTTACGTTACAATGCGTCTCTGGAAACCGCGTTGTCGTAATTCGCTCCGTAGACTCATTTTAGACCGAGTTGTGATTAAAGCGGGCTCTCAAGTGCAGCGAGAGTTCGATGGTCTCTGCCCAGCCACCAATCGCCGCACAAAGAACCCCACCCCACCGGTGTTACACCGCCACTCATGTCTCACTTGCCCACTTGGGCACCCACCCTGTGTCCCCCCGTGCCCTCCGTGGCCCACGGGTAAGATTTCAAAAAGTGTGTTGGTTTGGCCATGTTTGTTTGTTGTAGTACATAGTTAGACTGATGGCCTTAATCGAAGTTGTCTTGTGGTTGTTGTTGGTTGTTTGACTTGCATCCCACTGGGATTTTTGCACACAGCGTTGGTGTACGGTGTTTTTTTCTGCAATATTTTGCCGTCTTTTCTTGTATTTTCTGTTTGCACTCAGTCACATATTCACTTGAAGCAGTTTTTTTGTTCATGTTTTTGTTTTTTGTTTGTTGCGGTTGCACCCGATTCAAGAGCCGAATGGCTCACAGGGCTATACCTAATACATGAACTTGAACCCGTCCCTCCCGTGGGCCGTGCCCCCGTGACCCCGCGACCCCGCGACCAACCCCCCCCCGGCCCCGTGGCCCCCGTCACCTGTAGTGGAAGAAGATCTCGGCGTTGTGCTGGATGTTCTCGATGAAGCCGAAGTTGTCCTTGAGCGTGGCGATGAAGCCCACCTGCCGCTTGCCACCGCCACCGCCGCCGCCGCCACCGGAGATGGTGACACCTGCGCCGCCGCTGCTGCTGTTGCCCAAGCCGCCACTGGTGAGGCGGCTCAGCACCCGGACACAGGCGGCGCTGCGTTGCCCGCTCCTCTTCACCTCCGCGATGCTGAACTCCACCTGGTGGAAGCGAGAGAGGCGGGGGGGGGGGGCAGGCAAGGGACGCGCAAAGCTTTCGTATCATTACATCGTCGTCGTAGTCATCGTCGTCATGATCGGTCAAAGTCAAGTTCAAGTTCATTTATTAGGTATAGCCCCTGTGAGCCATTCGGCTCTTGAATCGGGTGCAACCGCAACAAACAAAAACATGAACAAGAAACATTATAAAGTGAATATGTGACCGAGTGCAAACAGAAAATCCAAGAAAAGACAGTAAAATATTGCAGAAAAAGCACCGTACACAAAAATGTGCAAAAATCCCAGTGGGATGCAAGTCAAGCAACAACAACAACCACAAGGCAACTTAGATTAAGGCCATCAGCCTAACTATGTACTACAACAAACATGGGCAAACCAGCCATAGCTGGCTGCATGAGTCACTCCACAACAGCAGGAGCATCAGTCGATTTCCTGCCAGGTGAAGCGATGCCACCGTAGGAGCCCACGGTGGCTCGGAGATGTTAACTACCACGCCTGGTACACAGGAGGTCGTGGGTTCCCGACCCTGACGCCTGCTGCTGCTGTATTTTTAAATCCTTTATATTAAGTTCACTTGCTTGCGCGCTTACGACCGTGCAAATCTTTCGGTCGTTTTTTAACCCACTTCCCGTGATCCAATCGAGCTGACATTTTGCACATAGACTCGTTGTGCGTGACAATTTATTTTCGTGAAATTTTTTTCCAAAATTTTACACTTTTTAGGAAAAAATAAATTATATTTAATTACCAATTGCTTAATGGTGGCAGGCAATCATCTGACCCATAGGTGGCAGCCATCTCAAGCCAGAGGACGAGAGGACTCTAGCCGCCACGCATATAAAGGATTTCTAGTGAAAAACTTTGTTTTTACGGGTTAATTTTTTTGAGTTTGTATATTCTCCCCGTGGGTCGCGTGGATTTGTCTCCGGGTCCTGCGGTTTTTTCCCCCCACGTTTAGAATCAACGTGCCTTTAGATTATTTGGCCGTTATAAATTTCGACGTCGTGATAACCCACTTCGTTGAGCTATCATTTGTGGCCAGGTCGCTTCTGAAGAACTATATAGCTCAGTGGGCCTCACCTCATAAGATAAAGTCACGTAGAAGGGAAGTAATAAAATAATAAAAATAAAACATAATAAAATAATTCTCACGACGTTTCGGCCACAACGCAAGCAGCCGTCCTCAGGTGAAGACATTTTCTTCACCTGAGGACGGCTGCTTGCGTTGAGAATTATTTTATTATGTTTTATTTTTATTATTTTATTACCTCCCTTCTACGTGACTTTACCGAAAGAATCAAGAAGATGAGGCCGTACCTTGTCGCCGACTTTGGGCGCTCCGCGTCCCTCCACGTCCTTGCACAGGTACGAGATGGTCATCTTCTCACCCTCCTCCTCCTCCTCGTAAGCGATGATCCCCGGCTCCTGGTCCTGCGCAGTTGGGAAGAGGCCTCGCAAGAGTCAGGTCAAATCTAGGCCCACCCCTCCTCCTCGCCACTGCTGTTACGACGGACGACGTCACGGCCGTTCTGCCGTGCGGCTTGCTCTCTCGCTCTCTCTCTCTCGCTCTCTCCCTTCCTGTCACTCTCCCTTTCTCTCGCTCTCTCTTTCTGTCTGCTCCGATGCGAGTTCGGGTCGTAACCGCGGCGCTGTCAGGCGCGATGTCCTCCCAAGTTCTGGTCTCCATGTGCCGGAACCTTCTTTGGGAAACCCAAATCCCGAATTCTACCTCGTGCAATTTCACAAACTGGGCCCCCCCTTCTCAACAAAAACCACGTAGCTGCATTAAAAAACAAAAGTGTTTCTGTTTCGGTAATATGAATAACTTTGTATTTCTGGTATTTAGAGAGAGGAGCTAATGCGTTTTGTCACGCGGGGTGGGTTGGGGTCCGTTTGGGGGGTCCGTGGGAATATTTGCATCGGTCGAGAGGTGCCGGGCGGCAGGCCAAAAAAGAGTTTGGACAAACACCGCCCCGGCGGGGAGACCTTTCCAATCGGGGGCGACGAGAATAAACAAACCGCCGGGCCCATACCCTCTATCGATTTACCTCTACTTGAAAATGTTCCCAGCTTCATGTCGTTTAGCCCGGCGGTTCACAGCCGTTGTTCTGCTAACACTACCCAGTGAAGGGGGGGGGGGGGGGGGCGTGAGGTTTTCCGAAGAGATTCGGTTCGGTGTGGCTGGCAATTGCCTGCGGAGTGACAACTCATGGAGACCACAGGCCACCGCAGTTCCAGCACGGCCGATTGGTCACCGCGTGGAATTATTGACCATGTTTAAAAAAATAAAAATATATACAAGATGGACTTTGGAAAGTTTGGCTGTTCAGCAAGAAAAGACCGTGAAACAGGATTTTTAACAATTAAAACGTAAATAATAATAACACAGTGAAGTTATGAGAAGGTGCGGTGGATAAACACACACACACATAAGCGTGCACACACACACACGCGCGCGTGTGTTATTTCATGCGAGCACGCTTAACACAGCGCACCAGCATAAACACAAGCGCAGGGAAGGCAGTCGCTAATTGGGGCAAAGCACTGGTCAATTCCAAGCAGTCAAAATGTCTTGTTACAGGGCATTCATTTTGTCAAAGCATCGCCCCCCCCCCCACCTCTCTCTCTCCAACGGGTATAGAGGTGGGTCAATGGAGCATGGTCCCATCCTGAAAAAATGGTCAGGAGACTGCATGGATTCATATTCTTGGTTCTTTCGGTAAAGTCACGTAGAAGGGAAATAATAAAATAATAAAAATATAAAACTATAAAAATTCTCACGACGTTTCGACCGCAACACAAGCAATCATCATCGGGTGTGAAATCCACGGCAAGAACATTTCTTGCCGTGGATTTCCCACATGATGTTTTATATTTTTATCATTTTATTATTTCCCTTCTACGTGACTTTACCGAAAGAAAACTTAATTTGGAGCTTTCGTGACATTTCGAAATTTTGCTAGGTTATTTAATTCAGTGCCTCTCTCTCCCCGTCTCCTCTTTTTTCAAGCTTTTGCACGTGCCACTCATTGACATGCTAATTTCTCTAACCCCTCCCTCTCTCTCCGCCCCCGCGGGGGTCCCGTGTTCGACATCCGTCATCTCGTCAGTAGTGTCAGGAACCAGCGCTAGCGAGCTGCCAGATGCTATCCTTGGCAAGGGCCCGCTCGCTTTTAACACATGGGTCTGATGCATAACCGAAAAATTACACTGGTCAACAAAAATTTTTTTTTCTGGCCTGGACTTTTGCAGCTGTTTTAGACTAATTTCAGGGTGCTGATTCCAAATCTGATCTCAGATTTGCTCCATCACATAATTTTTATGCTATCGGCATACCCCAATTTCATTGATTTTACCCGAAATTAACTCTGTCACTTATGATTGCAAGTTATTGCGAGTCAGTGACTTGCTTTAGTGTTAAAATATCGTGCTGTATTTTTAGGATAGTGTGTTTATAATATCATTGTATGTAGATATCCACATTCATTTAATATTTTTCTTCTGCAGTTTTTATTGAAAATGCAATATTTGATATCTCAAAAACCTGATGTGATAGACAAAAACTTATGCCAGATTTGGAATCAGCACCCCAAAATTACCTTAAAACCGTTGGAATACCTTATGCCAGAAAAAGTGTGTTGACCAGTGTAATCATCGTTAGCGTGCTTAGGCGAGCTCTGCGTGCGTGGCGCGGCGTTCAGAGTGAAACGCAAGTCAAGGATGGAACACCGCAGTGGGGATGGGGTTAGCGGGGGGCGGTGGGGGGGTGGGTGGGGACCATGCAAGTGCAGCCCAACACGGACGTACCCGCTCCCTCTTCTGCGGCGAAACAAGCGCGCGAGTGCGCATGCGTGCGCGGCGTGGGAGGGGAGAAGAAGAAAAATAAAAAGTCACTGCACTGACGCAGGCAGCGGTGGTAGATGAAAACACAGAGGAAGAGGAGGATGATAGTAACCGACGATAACAAGTGGGGACAAGTGGAAGGACAACGAGCGAAACCGCGGTGAACGAACGCGCGCGGAAAGGAACGACCCAAGCGGTTGCGATGATGCAGAACTGCCGGTGATTGGAAGGGTTTGGGGTCGTGGTTTTGATGGCGCTGGCGACGGTTTGCGACGACAGCACGGACGGTGACGATGGTAGCGGTTGACAGCACCTGCGGTGGCGGCGGCGGTGAACTACCGCCACGATGAACTACCGCCACGGTGAACTACCGCCACGGTGAACTACCGCCACGGTTAACTACCACCACGATGAACTACCGCCACGGTTAACTACCGCCACGGTTAACTACCGCCACGGTGAACTACCGCCACGGTGAACTACCGCCACGGTTAACTACTGCCACGGTGAACTACCGCCACGGTGAACTACCGCCACGGTGAACTACCGCCACGGTGAACTACCGTCATGGTGAAAGCAGTGGCAGCGGTGGCAACGAACAACAGTGGCTGTCGGTGGTACCGGTCGTGATGAGCAATAAAGACTACGAAGTTGGATGGTGGTGGGGGGGTATCTCACCTTCTCCTTGGCCTTGGAGGGGCTGGGGGCGGCTCCGATGGCCTCGCGCTCCACGACCCCCACGTAGCGCTCGTCCAGGCGGGTGCTGAACGACACCGAGCCCTTGGGCAGGCGCCGGATCCGCACCGCGTGGTTCCGTTGCGGCAGCATCGCGTCCTGAGCGGCGGCGGGGACAAAGGGGGCGAAGGGGTCAATATAGCGGGGGTTGAAACGCACGGAGGGAGGTCAAACGTGCTGGGGAGGGGAGGGGAGTCAAACGCGGGGGGAGTTAAACGCGCGGTCCCGACAATTGCGCCACACGCTCACAGGGGCCAAGGAACGATCGACCGCTCAACGCGTGGCAATTCCAAGGGCAGGGTTTTGTTCAGTTCGGCAACGTCGTATATGTGTCACCGCAGCCATGAGAAGCGCTGCTCATTGCTGACCGCCCCCCCCCCCCCCCCCGCCCACTTACTGGACATCACAAGCTCGCCCTCCCCGCCCCCTCACCTCATTTACCTTCCCTCTACTTTGGCTTCCTATTCTTTTACACCATTGGAACCTCTCATTTGCCAGTAAAAAATATGATAATTGGTTTTTTACCCTTCTATCTGGCAACAAAACTGACATCTTTTTTTACAAGGAGTCATGTTTACATAGACCACAATACCTGCAGTCATAATGCAAACAAAAAACATAACTCTGATAATGTATGCACTGTCCTTGAAGTTGATTGGTCCACACCCGAGACAGCTTTCCTTAGAGCCTAGTCTCACATGGTGTTGGACCAGATGACGCCAAAAGGCGCACAACTCAAAGACAATGCACCATCAGAGTATGAGAGCTCGGGGTAAGCATTTACACCATTGAGTTGTGCGCCTTTTGGCGTCATCTGGTCCAACACCATGTGAGACTAGGCTCTAAGGAAAGCTGTCTCGGGTGTGGACCAATCAACTTCAAGGACAGTGCATACATTATCAGAGTTATGTTTTTTTTTGCATTATGACTGCAGGTATTGTGGTCTATGTAAACATGACTCCTTGTAAAAAAGGTGTCAGTTTTGTTGCCAGATAGAAGGGTAAAAAACCAATTATCTTCCTATTCTTGTCGTGTTTTATTTTAGTATTCACAAGAGGCACGTTGGATTAGGTGGTGTAAATACAAACGTGTCGTTCAACCGGCCACCTCCACACGACGTCACGGCCAATTAGTCAGGTTTGCCACGTAAACAGAACGTGACAATTCGTTACAGGTTCAGCACACCGCTTGTGTGTTGGGAGAGTAAGCCCACACAAAATGTACAATTCGAGTACGACGTTTCGCCAGTAACTGCAACCAGCATCATCGTGCCAGATTACTAAGTCGGTCTAACGACACATTTCCGCCACCCAACCCAAAAGAAAACTTCTATATTGGATAATATTGGTTGTGAGAGCCTCCTCCGAAGCGTTTGTTGGACTGTTTGTTGCTGCAACTTTCTGACCCTGTGCCCCCCCCACCGGCTGGACATCGTGCTCTCTATAAGCCCCGCCCCCCCCCCTCCCGATACGTTCCATTCATTGGCTACCACATTCTGATAAGCTCCCCCCCCCTCTCCTCCCCCTTAACTTGTATTTAAGAACTTGCATCTTGAATCCCTGCCTCACTTGATGCAGAAAATCTGGCTGTGACGGTCCCACCTGATGACGGAGACTTGTGTTGCCTCCGAGACGTCGCGATTTTGTATTATTTTTATTAATTTAAATTTCATTTTTTACCGAAAAAACTATGAATCCTTGCAGTCACGAAAGCTTCAAATCTAGAATTGTGAAAGAGAGCTTTGTTACGGCTCATCGGGTTCCTCCTCCGGAAGTAAATATTCTGATTCGGATAAAGATTCTTACTCCACTGACCAATCTAAGAATTTGATGTTTCCATCGGACAATTCGACCAACTGCATGGGAGCGAATCGTTGATTTTTAACTCAAACGATTCCACGCGTTTACGAATCTGAACAAGTCCGGTATTCGAGAGCAAATCCAAGCAAACGCTGCCCCCCCCCCGCCCCTTCTCGCTCACCAACTCACTCCTCAGTCCGCTAGCTCACCCGCCAACCAGCTCATCCATCCGCTCGCTCTTTAACCAACTCACTCAACTCCCCGCTCACTCACCCACTCGCTCGTTTGCCAGCCAGCCAGCTCACTTACCAACACACACACACTCACACAATCGCCTTCCTTCCTGCCTGCCTGCCTACTTACCGACTTTGCTCATCCGCCCGCCCGCCCGCTCACCCGCCCGCCCGCCCGCTCGCTCCGCACACACTTGTCAGCCCACTCACCTGCCCGCCCGCCCGCTCGCCCGTGCGTACCGGGATGACGGTGAACTCGACTTCGTCGGAGATGCGCAGGGCTTGCGGGTCGTCCATCACCTCGCTGTAGTGGAAGAACATGCGCTGCTCCCGCTCCACGCACTTGATGAAGCCAAAGCCGTCGCGGAGGGCCGCCACCACGCCCTGCGGCGCGATCCACCGAGGACGACGACACCGACGACGACGACGACACCGACAACGAGAAAACGACGTTCGGTCTTACCGTCCCCGCGCCGTGAGCGAGCGAGCGTCGAGCAAGGCCACCGTGCGCGCAGATTTTGCGGTCGTGCAGCCAACACCACGCGCGCACAAAGAAAAAGATCCCCCGTATAGCCTTTACCAAACCGTTGGGCCAAGTGCCGGCAGCGAGCACCTACGAAGGCTGCAACGGATACACAGGAAGTGGGGTGGCGGGTGGCCACCAACACAACGCCCTCCGTCTCCCCCAGTGCCGATTATTTGCGTACACCGCACCAAGCACAGGGACTCATCGACTTACGAACTTCCAGAGATACGAACAAGCCTGTCCTGTATGTCCGTCGCCCGTTCGGACCGAGAGTCGTAAATTCGACCACCGTGCAATAGAGATGGCGGTAGATGCCACTGGCTCTTCATGTGAAGAACCAGATGTAGATGCCACTGGTTTTTCATGTTCTGCAGATGTCGATGGCATCTACATCTGCAGAACGTGAAGAACCAGTGGCATCTACATCTGCAGAACGTGAAGAACCAGCGGCATCTACATCTGCAGAACGTGAAGAACCAGTGGCATCTACATCTGCAGAACGTGAAGAACCAGTGGCATCTACATCTGCAGAACGTGAAGAACCAGTGGCATCTACATCTGCAGAACGTGAAGAACCAGTGGCATCTACAACTGCAGAACGTGAAGAACCAGTGGCATCTACATCTGCAGAACGTGAAGAACCAGTGGCATCTACATCTGCAGAACGTGAAGAACCAGCGGCATCTACATCTGCAGAACGTGAAGAACCAGTGGCATCTACATCTACAGAAGATTATAACGCCTTTAAAGTCTTCCCGCGTGTTGAGTGTACACGCTGTACAACACCTTTGGAATCAACATGAGTAAAGTTTGGACTTACGATCAAATCGACTCACAAACAGACCTCTGTAACCTAACTCGTTCGTAAGTTTAGGAGTTCCCGTACTTTTTTTTTTCAAAGGCCAAGTCGACCAAAGGGAAAGGCCTCGGACCGGTTCAAACCCTCCCCACTCTTCGGTCTTGAGCGGCAAAATCAAACCTCCGTGGGGGACGGGGGGGGGGGGGGGACGGGTGGATTCGCCGCACGCAAAAAAAACGCTCACCACTTCTCTCTTTTCGTCGGAGGCGGTGAAGGTCTCTGACATCAAGGTGATGGTGGTGGCACGCTCCAGCCCGTCGCGCCGGTCCGTCGAGATGCTGAACTCCACCTGGTCCCCCGGCAGCAGCGTCACCTTGGTGCGCGTGTCCTTCTCGCCGTACGGGAGGTCCCGCGCCGTCGGGAACTCCATGTGGATCCGGCCCGGCAGCGGGTCAGACTGCGTGCGGCACATCGTGGTGGGGGCGAGATGTTGACTACCTCGCCTGGCGCGCAGGAGGTCCGTGGGTTTCGATCGCGACCCTGACGCCTGTTGTATATTTGGGAGTTTGCGTGCGTCTCCCTTGCTCTGTAGATTTATATAGCAGCGCTTTAATCCAAGGAGTTTACAACAATTATAAATTTGTACATAAGATGATAATGGTTGAGATAAAGAGTGGGGTAGTTATTAAAAGGGGTGGTCTAGTTAAGAGTTTATTGTCCTTCACACGCAACATCTTATTAGCATGGTTGCCTACGTCCGGTGCGAAAGAAGTTCAACATACACGCATACATAGACTCAGAGAGACCCATAGACTCACACAAAGACCCACAAACTCACACAGAGACCAATAGATTCACACAGAGACCCACAGACTCGCACAGAGACCCATAGACTCACACAGAGACCCATAGACTCACAAGCAGACCCACAGACTCACACGCAGATCCACAGACTCACACAGAAACCCATAGACTCACAGAAACACTCACACAGAGACCCATAGACTCACACAGAGACCCATAGACTCACAAGCAGACCCACAGACTCACACGCAGACCCACAGACTCGCACAGAGACCCATAGACTCGCACAGAGACCCACAGACTCACACAGAGACCCAAAGACTCACACACAGACCCATAGTTTGTTGCCATTCCCCCACAACCTCCGCTTAGTGCGGTTGGCTACGTACGGTGCGAAATAAGTTCACACGCACGCAACACACAAAGGCAAACAAGCGAGCCAACAGCAGCACGATCCCTTGCGGGAGAACGCACCAGGTTCTTGCTGGGCGCCTTGGGCAGCACGCACAGCACCTCGCCCTTGAAGCGCTCGATGCTGATGTCCTCGAAGATCACCGTGCCCTCCGGCAGCAGTCGGATGTCCGTCGCCACCTCCTTGTTCTGCCGGGATAAAAGACAAAGGCGGTGACTCCGCGCCGTTTCAAGCGGTACACGTGTGACCACCTCGACGGTGGTGCCGGCCCGGTTTTTGCGAGCGCCGGGGGTTCGGTATCGTCCCGGCTGTGGCCACAGGGGGCTGCCTGTCGCAGTGGTTGGTTTGGATGAAGGGGCCGTGGGGGAGGGTGATGAAGTGGGACATTGCCACGAGACATTCCAAGTTGCTGGAAGGGGAAGGCAGCTTCCGTCCGGTAGTTGATTGAAAACGGTTGTGATGGGCATTACGGTTTACACGGCTGAACTATCGTGCTCACCTTGCCACTCACTCTTTCAATCATCCACACGCTCACTCACATTCACACTCACCCACTCACTCACTCAACCACTCTCCAACAACTACTCAAGCTAAAGAACCCACTTATTCACCTACCCACTCAGTCTCCAAACCACTTAACCCACCTCTCCCCCTCCGATTCACCCACTCAGCCACTCATCCACCCTGTCTCTCCCACCCTTTCTCCCACTCACCCACTCTTCCACTCAATGTATGTAGAACTTCTTTCACACCGTACATAGCCAACTGTGCTAATCGGAGGTGCGGGGGGAAGGACAACAAAATCACCCACCCTCTTCCCCCACTCACTCACCCACCCCCCATCCTCCTATCTCTCAAACATTCGCTTTCACACCCACCCACTCAACCACGCACCCTCTGAATCGCTCACTCATTCATCTACCGTCTCCTACCAACACTCACTCATCGTGGCTCTCCCGCCCAACTGTCCACCACACCCGCCCCACGAGCCACTCACGTTGCGATCCTGGATGCTGAACTCCACGTCGTCCCCAGGCTGCAGGGTCTCCAGGTTGCCCTTGTACTCGCTGTAGTGGAAGAAGATCTCCTTCACCTGGTCCCCGCGCTCGATGAATCCAAACGTCTCCTGAGCGACGCGGAGAAGCCGGCAAGGGCCCGTGCGTGAGAGGTCCAGCGACGAGCATCTCGCGCGCACTGACGACCCCACGACCCCCCGCCCAACCCCCGCCCCCCCCTAACCCCCGCCCAACCCCCGCCCCCCAAACCGCCGCCCCAACCCCCACCAATTTCCACCGGCACATGCGAGCCAAGCCAGTGCGGCGGCTTTTTCCACTGGTTCTATGCGGAGTCGAGCCAGAACCAAACCGTGACAAGCTGCTGCTGTCATCCAAACGTCTAAATCTGGCTCATGGCCAAGCAGGGCCAGGGGGCGGAGCTAACGAGAAGTGACGTCAGTCAGTAGCACGCTCCGGAGGGCCGCATCTGTTATTTCATTGCGTAAAATTGCAAAAAGTATTAACTTTGGCATAAAATTACCAAGTGGCCAAACCCCCAAAAATGCAATCATTGTGTTCGTAAAAAAAATAAAAGGAGCTGCACTTTCACCCAGCGACAGATCCCTCTCGTCGTGGCGGCAGCAGCAGCAGCAGCAGGACCAGCACTGGCATTGACCTCCTGAACCACAAGACAGCGCTGCTGCTTGCTGCCATCATCACGCGCAAGAACAAATCAGCACCACCTGCTGGTCTTGCCCCCTTCACGCACCCCCCCTCTCCCCACACCACCGTGGTGGATGTCGCTCAGCCACTGCCGCCCCCGCGAGACGGAAACGGCGGCGGTGGCGGCGGCGCCGTGCGGGTGTCGCCAGCGTTGCCGCGGCAAGACGTACCTTCATGGCGCACACGACGCCCTGGAAGCGGTCGGGGCGCTTGCGCTCCATGAGCTTCACGCCGCTGGCGCTCATGAACCCGCTGCTCCCCACGCTCCAGGGATGAACGCGACCGTTAGGAAGGCGCACGCCGTTGTGGTTCGAGGTGGTGGTGGTGGTGACGACGAGGTGTGGGTGGGGAAGAGAACGGGGGTGGTGGGGGAAAACGTGGGTAGCAAACGGGGAAGAACGCACGGAGCTCAGATTAGTTGCCTGGTTACGGTCACCCAAGTTCGCAAGCGACGGTGATTGCTTTGTTAATGGAATCGACGGCTGGTTAACATCTCCCCTAGGTCGACTCGGCCTCGAATGAGTACCTGTGTGGGGTGTGTAAACATCGCCACTGGGGAGACAAAGGCGGCCGGGTGTGGTGCTGGCCACCCACCCCCTCGTGCGCCGTGCCGGCCTTCATAGGTGTTCACGAACAGCACTTGCCCCTTTGTCTTTGTGTCTATGTTGGGTGCCCATTGCTTACTGTGTGCGTGCCGGTGTGCGTATGTCGGTTTTGTCATTGCCTGTGTTTGTCGGTGTGCGTGTGTGCGCGTCGGTGTGTGTGCGTGTCGGTGTGTGTGCGTGTCGGTGCGTGTCGTTGTGTGTGTGTGCGCAGGTGTGTGTCGGTGTGTGTGCATGTCGGTGTTTGTCGATGTGTGTGTGTGTCGGTGTGTGTGTGCATGTCGGTGTTTATCGGTGTCTGTGTGTGTGTGCGTGTCGGTGTTTGTCGATGTGTGTGTGTGTGTCGGTGTGTGTGTGTGTGTGTGCGCGTGTCGGTGCGTGTCGTTGTGTGTGTGTGTGTGTGCGCAGGTGTGTGTCGGTGTGTGTGTGTGCGTGTCGGTGTGTGTGTGTGCAGGTGTTTATCGGTGTGTGTGCGCGTGTCAGTGTTTGTCGGTGTGTGTGTGTCAGTGTTTGTCGATATGTGTGTGTGTGCGTGTCGGGTGCCCGGTGCTTACGGCTTGTTCGTGGCCACGGTGAAGGAGACCTTATCTCCCACTTCCATATCGATGGCGTCCTCCACGTCGTCGCACGAGAAGTTCAGGTAGAACACCTCCTGCCCTCGCGACGAGGTGGCAGGGCGGGAGGGGAGGGGGGAGGGGCGGAATGGGAGGGGGGGGGAACCGCGACGTTTTTGAAGCGACGAGCGAGTTTCCACGCAGCCGCCAGCCTCGGCAAACACTTCCCACCGCCACCGCCCAACACATCCCCCTCCAGCCCGCACAAGTTCACGCGATACTTTTATCAAATGTATATTACGTGTATGTAAACAAAGTAAGAAAAATCGTGGATTTCGCAACTCTTTCCAACAGGCGTTTGTCCGCGCAAAGTATTTAATTGGCGGTCGTAACGTTACGCTTCGAGGCGCGCGGACTGGGCGACGTCGCACGGGAAATTGTCGCCTTGGCCGAGCAAGACGAGAACTTTTAGCGCCGCTTTTCTCTGTCGTCGTCGTCGTAATTGGCAAAGTTTTGGGGCAAGTAACCCTGCGATTATTTCCTTTCCGGGTCTCTCGGCAAGCGACACAAATTGACATTCAAATTCTGCCGACGTTGGATCGACTTTACAAGAGTTATCGTGACCACCAACCCCCCCACTCCTCTCTGCTTACAAATCGACAAGACGGGACACGGCTAACGCGTTGAACAGCTTTCAACCGTTAGCTTCTTCGCCTTGAAGAGCGATTATTTGTCGGGGGATAAAATGCCCACGGATTGGCTGGGGGGGGGGGGATGGTTGGAACGTGCCTTGTCCACCAACAGTAACTAAGGCCGCACGATGGACCTGTGGTTACAACGCTCGACTCGCCGCGAGGTCGCGAGTTCAATTGACGGTTAGGCGTCCACAGGACTCCTCGATTCCACCCCCACCATTGTTTGGGTTCGATAAAACGATTACCCACTCCCTGCGGGGAAATAAATGCGCCTATCCCCCCCCCCCCTTCAAAGGGAACGTGGAATTGCCGGTAACTGGCTCGCGGGCGGGGGATGAGCGAACGGTAGAGCGCGAACCCAGGAGCGGCCGGGCGAGGTGCCAACGTTGTTGCGAATTTGAGCGGCGGCACATTGAAGAAGCCGTTCAGGTGGATGCGCGGTGAACTTAAAAGGCCGTTAAATTATCCGAGGGTGGTAAAAAGAGCAGCTGGGGGCGGGTTCGTGACGTTTTAGCGGATGCCGTGCGACCAAACAAGACGCGGCGGCCCTCATCGTCGACGACGCTCACGCTTTGCTCGTGCGCCGATGACATCAACGCCGGCGCTTTTCGTGACATCGCAGCAACGACGAGTGGCGGCAACAACAACGCCGCCCCGCGTCTCTCCTCGGCACAATCACAATTCGGCGAGGCGTCGCGGTGCCGAGATGTTAACTACCTCGCCGGGTATGCAGGAGGGCGTGGGTTCGCTCCCGACCCTGACGCCTGCTGCTGTATATCTGGAGTTTGCGTGTCTCTCTCTCTCTCCCAGTGGTCGCGTAGACTTTTCTCCGGGTCCTCCGGTTTTTCCCTCCACATTTAGAAACAACGTGCATTTAGAGTATTTGGCTGATATACATTTCCACATGATAAGCCACTTTGTTGAGCTAACATTTGCTATAGAGCTAGAGCTCCAGTGGGCCTTACCTAGAAAAATAAAAATAGTTTAAAGTTTTAGTTTGAGGTGGGCGAGCGATGAACGCGAGTGCTAGCAGCACTCCTTCCTGCAGCACCTTCAGGATGTTCAGCGAGATGACAAAAACGGAATACCCAATTCCATGCTCAATGTTAACTCTATTTTCCATATTATAAGATGCGGGCAATTCACTTGGCTGAGCGCCTTACGAGTGGGTAGGTGCACATGTCATGTACGTAGAACTTGGGTTTCGCACCGCACGCTGTCAACCGCACTAGGTGGTTGGTGTGCGACTTGTCCAATGTTAATGACGCCGGGAATACGTCTGGGGGGGGAGGGTTTGAGCCTTACAATCGTGAGAACACTGCAACCGAACCGGCGAGCGTGCAACTATTATTATACCTCGCAAGCGCGCGCTCAATACGGGGACAATACGGTAGAGGCGTACGTTCACGAAAGCGTTCCTCTACGGGCAAAACTTTTAACGTCGACCGAGCGCTCGCGTTTTGGTTTTCCTCTCCGTCGACCGCGCGATGTTCCGTCGTCGCTATACTCATCACCGTCGTCATCGTAATAGTCGTCGTCACGGTTACCGTCGTCATGGTTACCATCGAAATCATCGCGCCGGTATCCTCACCCCGTTGCGCTCATAGCAAACGCTGCCCTTGTGCAGCGCGCCGACACCGCACCCTTCCTTGCCCCCGACGGACGGGATGGCTGCCACCACCTAATGCCGCCACCGCCGTCGTCGCCACCGCAACCACCGCCACACGGCCACAAACAACACAAAACACCAGAGTCACACAGGCGGTACACCCAGCCGGTAAGCTAGCCAACCCACCGCCGCGCACGCGCACACGCAGGTTGGCGTCGCTGCCGGCCGGCCGGCCGACCGACGGGCGGGGGGGACTGATCGAATTCACAATTGCGTTTCGACCAACGCTTCTGCGATTGGAGTCGAGAAGCGCAAAAAAACACGGAGGCAAGACGCAACCCAAAAAGGTAAAATTAGGCTCTCGATCGGCGAAAGTTGACGGGCGTCACGAAATCAAAGCGCCGCCACCCCCCCCCCCATCCTACACGGAAGGGCCCCCTGGGTATTCGGGATTCCGTTGGAAACAATCGTGGGGGGAAAACCCAGCCCCCCACTTTCGATTCCCCAAGTCTCATTAAAGCAAGGGGCGATGGGACGAAACAATAACACTTTTCCATTTCACAGCGGTAACAAACGATCCGTACGTTTCGTTATTTATGACCCTGCTGTAGATACGCACCCAGGGCTGTGTGTGTCCCAAATTTGTCCAAGAGTCAGTCAAGATTTTGAAGGAAACCAAACTCGGGTCGGGGAGCAACCCTACGCTTACGAACGCAGCGCCGCGACGGCGATGTCAACGGCGGCGGCGCATCTGACCGCGATGTCGATGAGAGTTTATTCAGCGCTCTCCAAACCCGCAGTTGACCAAGCATTTATGCGTTTACCTCTGTCTGTCCGTCACACGATGGGGTGGGTGGGTGGGGGGGATGGGGAAGAGGTCACGATAAATCTCGTAGAAGCGATACCAATAACGGAACCAAACTTTGCCGCCAAAGTTGCGTTGCCGTTATTTTACGAATGTAGGAAAAAACGGCCAAATTCATCACGTCAAATGGTCCCCCCCCCCCCCCCCCCCCACCCACAAAAAAAACGCAAATACACAAACCAGTTGAACGAGCAGCGGGCACGTTTGCAAGCGTGCAAAGGGTGTCCCGGAACTCGAAGCTAACCCCCGTCCGTCGGCTTTTTCGGACCGCCTACAAATACGAAGACCAAACGCGCGTTGGAAAGGGGCTACGTAAATCCACACGCGTGCATTGTTTCTCTTACTCGTTTCTAACGCGGTTCCAGCACAACAAAAAAATCACGCGCGTGCCGGTCGGAGAGACACACAAACAGCCCCGGGCGTGCATCTATCACACGAGAGCGGTCCCGCTTCTTAGGTTGCGTCTTCTCGTACCGAAAGTGTCTTAGAATGAAAAACAATAGTTTTTTTTTACCATTTTTCTGGCCATAAAACCGGAGGTGTTAAAATGTCCAAACGCCAAGGAATCAAAGTCTGTTACTCGTACACCCACTGATGATTGGCCCACACCAGAGGCAGCCTTCTTTAGGGCCTCGTCTCATCGGCAAAAGGGCGAACGGCACGAAGACGATGCACGTATCAGAGCATTGAGAGCTCGGGGTGAGCAGAGAGAGAATTGGACCTTTTTGCCAGTATCTAAGTATGAACTATAAGAACAGGTTTTAACCCCTTCTTGGTTCTTTCGGTAAAGTCACGTAGAATAGAAATAATAAAATTAAAACATAATGAATTAATTCTCACGTTTCGGCCACAACGCAAGCAGCCGTCCTCAGGTGGAGAACAGGTCTGTTGAGAAGACAGAGTCTGAATACCATTCAGACTCTGTCTTCTCGACAGACCTCGACAGACCTGTTCTCCACCTGAGGACGAATGCTTGCGTTGTGGCCGAAACGTTGTGAGAATAATTTTATAATGTTTTATTTTTATTATTTTATTATTTCCATTCTACGTGACTTTACCGAAAGAACCAAGAAGATGAATCCCTGCAGTCACGAAAGCTTTAAATCGAGGTTTTTACCCATTTCTGGCAATAAAAAAAGGCGGTGTTAAGATGTTCAAACACCAAATTGATTAGATCTTTTTGCAAGGAATCAAGTACTGCATTAACCACACACATACTTCCTGTTGGTGAACGTGCAAGCAAAACATGATGCGATAATACGTGCAATGTCTTTGGAATTGTTTGGCCTACACCAAAAATTATTTTACGTTGCGTGCTTGCGTGGGAGGAAATCCGAGTAATCCGACAGGAAAACCCCGGCTGCCATACGCCGAAAAAAGCCTCCGCACGGACGGGTTCGCAAATCTCTACGCGATCCACCAACCATTGGCGCCAATGCTCCGCATGATCGCATGACAACAGCCAGAGCGGCGACAGCCAAACGGCGGTGGATGGCGGCCAGGAGAAAGTGGTACAAGCGAATCATACTCTTTGGTTTTTTCGGTAAAGTCACGTAGGTAAAAAATTTTAACAAATTAACTCACGACGTTTTGAAAGCAACACAAGCCTCCGTCATTAGGTGTAACTGCTCCAGTAAAATTTGCAGTTACACCTGATGACGGAGGCTTGTGTTGCTTCCGAAAACGTAACGAGTTAATTTATTTACATTTTTTACCGACGTGACTTTACCGAAAAAACCAAAGAGGATGAATCCTTGCAGTCACGAAAACTTCTAATCTAGAATTCGTACAAGCGAAGTTATGGAGTAGCAAATCATCTCTCCCGTCTGCACGGGAGAGCATTGCACTATCGCACGAGCGTAGGTTTTCTCTGGGGGGAGGCATTTCGGTTTCCTCCCGCGTGCATAAAAGGCCTCATCAATTGTATGAATGCATCTTAATAACGGGGAGCTTGGGGAACATGTGAGGCTTTCCCAGGTGAACAAGCATTATAGATAACAAGTCGTACAAATAATAACGGCAGTGAGAGATAGAAAGACAAAGGAAGGAAAACAGAAGGTGGGGGGGGGGGGGATGAGGTTATGAAATTGGCAAAGACAAAAAGTAAAACGAAAAACGAACCAACAATGTGTGTGGGGTGGAGGGGTGTGTGGGGGGCATTTATGAACACATTTCATGAGCATGTTCATCATTTCACAAATGTATTACCTGCGGAATAAATAAATAAAACATTGCGGGAAGACAAAAACGAGCATCGGGACAATCACGGCACGGCGGGGAAAAAAATAAAACAGCGACGCCACGATCGTCGCCGCTCTAAACATCGAACGGCCGGTGGATCGTGTCAAGTTGGCGCGACCCTCCAGCCAACGTCGGCAGTGACCCACAGCCTCGATACCGGCTTACAAGAACCACTGATTCTACAGAAATAGCACCGTGTGCTAAAACACCGGAAAATCACATCATCGATGTTAAAAAAAAATATCGCCTATTTTAAAATAAAACATAATAAAATAAAGTAATTTTATGCTTTATTTGTATTATTTTATTAGAAGGGAAATAATAAAATAATGAAAATAAAGCATAATAAAATAAATTAATTTTATTATGTTTTAGTTTCATTATTTAATTTTATTATGTTTAATTTTTATTATTTTATTATGTGACTTTACCGAAAGAACCAAGAAGATGAATCCCTATTTTATTACGTTTTATTTTTCTTATTTTATTATTTCCCTTCTACGTGACTTTACCGAAAGAACCAAGAAGGTTTTAAATTTGCTTACCACGTGAAGTTGGCATGAACATACAAAGACAAAAATAAATATATACTACTTTTAAAAGTTACCGTGTTTTACTGTACCGTACTTACCGCTCTAATCTCGAAGACTCTGCATGGGGTGATGTATATACGTGCAGTATTTCATTAAGTTGTTGTATGTAGTGTATAATGTAGTGTATATGATATTTAACACTGATAATCAAGCATAGCTACTTTTTTTGACACGCAAAGTGCCGATTGCCAGGCTTGGTTACAGCCTTCGGTTTCGCCGGATCGGCCCAGGACCACACGGTAATGTTGGAAGCAGCCGGATAATCGATAATTGACGTTCAACTGTATGTTGAACTTCTTTCGGACCGTACGTAGCACCAACCGTGCTAATCAGAGGCGAGGGGGGAGATTGTAGGTGCGGAATAATCTGGTCGGATCTATGAGAGAAGGATGGCTGTGATGACAGTGATGGTGATAGCAGTGATAGTGGTGGCAATGATGTCTGTAGTAGTGATGGGGCCGCAAAAATATCGTAAGTCGAAGATGGCCTAGCCTACCCAGGAGTCTTAAAGAATGGTGATAATTTAGCAAAACAGAAAAATTTACAGTTCCGTGCTGTATAACCTATATACTGCATGTATTTATTAATTACAATACTGTATTGCGCAGTAAAATGTGAAGTAAAAAAAACAAGGTCAATTCTTAGCCGACCGATATGAACTGCAATTTAATAGAAAGTTTTTTTCAGGAAACAATCCTATCTGTATCACACAAGGCGGGAGATGCGTAACATCCCAGCAGCGTCCCAACGTACAGCATCGTACCTCGTACGCTGCTGCGTTTGCCTGCCGCGCGAAATTTAAAATATTTAACAATTTTGTCGTATCGCTATCGCCGTCGTAAGATCGAAATATCGTAAGACGGACCATCGTAACTCGGGGACTATCTGTGTATACACATGTAGTCATCAACTTATGAACGGGGTTGCGTTCCTGATTCCCATTCGCAAGTCGATTTTGTTTGTATCTCAGAACTCAATATTTAATTGTACGATCAGTGTCACGGATTGTGTTGCGGTTCAACAATGAAAGGGAAGCAGCATTGTTCAAACTCATAAATAAGGATATATTGTACGGGCAGCCCTCGGGTTACGCACACAATTCGTGGACCGGTTCCGTAAGTTGGAAACACAGCGATGCACTGCATTTATATGCCCATAAGGTCAGCGTTATGGAATGTGTTACAGTTCAACAAGAAAAGGGAAGCGTTGCTAAACTCATAAACAGGAAGATTGTTCATGAGTTTACAGCAAATAAAATTAGGTAACGTGAAAAGAAGAAGAAAAAAAACAAATCCGTTTTACTTTCACTCATCTCGAGTCCCGACGCTGGCTGGCTTTGCTTGTCGGAAGGGGCGGCGGGGACTCGCCGTCATCAGAACCATCACGCGGGGGGGGGGAGGGATGCTGGGACTGAAAAACCTCGAGCGAGCCTTGCGCCACCACGGTTTAGACCAAAATCCCTCCTAGTAATTTTACGGTGGCCAAAATGATTACCGCTCGACCGACCGTCCTACGTAGAGACATCGGGTGGGGGTGGCGGCCGCCCCTTTCAAGGGAAATGTGGAATTTCCAACGCTGGCTCGGTGGGGGCGGGGCGGGGGACGAAAAGAGCGATGGGAGCTACCGGTTGCTCCCCTTGAGCGTGGATGATGGACGGCAAGCGATGCCTTATCGTGCACCGTGACCCGCTCAAACCGGCCAGTCGGTCTTGGAAAAGGGTTGGGAGTAGCCGCACCTTGGGAGTGATTTATTAACCCTGTCCTAGGGCTCCCCCCAAGGTCGACTCGGCCTATTGAAGGCCGCTCCGGCCTTCAATAGGCGCTCGCTAACGTATGCAGGTACGTACGTATGTTGAACTTCTTTCGCACCGTACGTAGCCAACCGTACTAATCGAAGGTGCGGGGGGAGGGGGCGAAGGACAAACAAAATGCAAAAAGCGGTCCTAAAGAAAAGAGGTTTCAATCTAGATGATGATTTAAAAGGGGCGTAGATCACAGCGGCTTCCTAATATCGGAAGGAAGAGCATTCCAGACGGCCGCGGAAGCGCGTCTGAAAGCACCACGAGATGCGGTGACCGTCTTTGTTCGATGGGCAGCCAAAAATCTTTGCTGCTGCGAGGATGACCAGAGTTTGCGTGACAGTTTATGGTCCGTGACAAGATCAGTGAGGTGTTGTGCGATTAAACCCCTTAACCCATACCACCACCACCGCACGCCACCTTCCATGCGGTGATTGGAAAGTGTGGCTCTGCCGCCTACCCCTTCCAAAATGTTATTTCAAGGGCATGAAAAAAATAAACGAACCATACCCACAGTAATTTCTGGTTGTAGCGCCAGTCAAGAGATGGCTGGGAGATGTTAACTAACTCGCCTGGTGTACAGGAGGTCGTGGGTTCGATACCGACCCTGACGCCTGCAGTAGATTTAAAGTCTGCGTGTCTCTCTCTCTCCCCGTGGTCGCGTGGATTTTTCCCCGGGCCACCCGGTTTTCCCCCTCCCTACATTTAGAATCAACAACACGCGGCGTTTCGAGCATTCGAGCTGCCCTACATTTTCACGCGATAAGCCACTTCGCCGAGATATCGTCTGTGGCCGGGTCGTCTTCTGAAAACAAGAGCTATACACCGGAGCCTTACCTGGTAAAATAAAAAAAAAAGTTAAAATGGCTAAAATTTACTACCGGAGGGGGGGGGGGGCGCCTTGCCATTGTGCCCATCCCAACTCGCTCTCCCACGCCGCCATGCGACCCAGGCCTAGCGAGGCCCGTGGGCCGGCCCTGCCCGCGGGGCGATCGGCGCGGACAGCCCCTCTCACCTGCCCCACGATGCGTTCCTCCGTGGGCATCTCGAACGAATTGACTGGTGGCTTCACCTTGAGCAGGTTGACGGCGATGGGCTTGCCTGTCTTGCGGTCGGTGGACACCTCGAACTCCACGTCGTCTGCGGCGAGGGTTGGGGGGGGGTGCGAGGGGGGGGCATGCGCGCGGGGGGGGGCACGTGTGAGAGGACACGCAATGGGGGGGTCATCGAGCCGTGGGCTACAGGTTCAGGGGGGCTACGAACGACCACCGTCGGGCGTTGCTTGGCGAGCGGATCGACTTTCGCAATTCCTGCGTGCAGTCTTCTCCCGCCCCGTCTTCCGACCTCGCTCAGATCAATCAACGTCAGCCTCTCATCTGTTGCACCGCCTTCAGTTGTTCACGGTGTCTTTGGGGCCTCCGGCCCTGTGCTCGGGAACTCTCGTAAATGATCGAGAGGTTCCACGGAGCGAGCGCGCGGTGGCCACCATGCGTTTACGTGGCTAGGGTGGCGAGTGGTTGTGGGGGGGGGGGGACTGAATGTGGAGGAGGTGGCGGGAGGGAGGGGATGGCGCAGTGACTTGGCCCAACGTCAACCGCTGGTTGCAAGCAAGGTTCCCCGCGGCCGCCCACCAATTAATAGCGTGGGCGAGTGATCCCCGCGATAAAAGATCTCTCCCCGTGCCGGCAGAACGCAAGGGTGAGTGAGCCCCGTTCATTGTGTGTGCTGGCGTCACGGTCCGAAATTCGCCAGATAGAAAAAAAACACTGCTAATTACTCAATCGAACTATAAGCACATGTAGTAATCACTGCCCCTATGGGGACGACTCGACAGGACACTCCTGAAAAACAATATCACGAGACTGAGCGAGATTCTGCTCGGAATACAAGCGGAATAATAAATAGTAATAACGGCAATTACGGAGGCGTCGCACCTCCGATTAGCGCGGCTGCCTACGTGCCGTGCTCAACAAGCTCAACGTACGAGCACGCGCGCGTTGCTCACCTCCGACCTTGAGGTCCTGCACGTGTCCGCGGAACTGCGAGTAGTGGAAGAAGAGGCGCGCCTGTCGCTCGTAGCACTTGACAAAGCCGTAGGATTGCATCAGCTTCTCGACGCAGCCGGTCTCGCGCAGCACCGGGCCCACCGTCACGCCGTCCCCGTTCAACAGGCTCGCGTCGTAGCTCATCTGCGCCCGAGAGGGAGGGGGCAGCGAGCGGAATTATTCCCCAGCCGCGCTCAACGATGGATGACGGGCGAGCGCGAGGAGGTGACGGATTCCCCCCCCCCGCCCCCCGACTCGGAGGACTTGCAAGAGAGACGCTTTGGATTCGTAGTCCTAATTGCGACAGCATCTCAAGTCAAGTGTGGGAGCGCACGCCCAGACAGCGCCGCGTAGCAGAAGTCGCAAACGGGTTTTGATTCCTTACCCGTACCCGGCCGCACCAGGGTTGCAAACGGGTACCCGTACCCTACCCGATACCCGGCTTCCCGTACCCGGCCGGGTATCGGGTAGGGTACGGGAACCCGATTGCGACCTCTGGGATGAAGCCATGTTGCAGGCGCGGGTGGGTTGATTATAGGAACTTCAATTGTGAGAAGAGACAAGACGTTGGGGAAATGAGTGACAAACGGTTACTCACCAGTGACTCATGGCCTACCCGTACCCGGCCGCACCAGGGTCGCAAACGGGTACCTGTACCCGGCCAGGTAGCCGGGTATCGGGTAGGGTACAGGTATCGGGTACCCGGTTGCGACCTCTGCCGCGTAGTCGTAGTAGCACCTACACTCAAGTGGTAACCGCTAGGGGTCACTCCTGGCAAAGCCCTCGAGTAAAGCCCCCTTCTTTGGGGATCCCTCCTGGCAAAGTCTCCAAGCAAAGTCTCCCCTTTAGGGGTCCCCCCCCCTCCCTGGCATTGCCCAAACAAAATTCCCTTCCTAGGGGTCCTCTGTTCGAGCCCCCCAAGAGAGCCCCCCTTTCTATCGCCGAGTCTCGACAGCAGCGGTCGCTCCGAGGCAGCCTCGAAACTGTGGCCGACCCCTCAGCCTCCCCCTATCTCCCTCTTTGACCCACGTAGTTCTCGAGCTCACGGAGAGAGAACCCGCTGAGCGAGGTCAACCAAGGGGGGAAAGCAGGAGCCACGTGTCCCAAGAGCCGGAGTCGACATTCCCTCGTCATGCGCAGCTCCCGCGGGGGTTTAAACGCGTTCATCTCCATCAAAGGGAGTCAGAAAGGCGCGCCCCGCCTGTTGGATGGCACGCCATGCCAACGACCTGTCATTCACAAGTGCAAAAGACAGGAATATGATAATTGTTTTTTTTACCCTTTTATCCGGCAACAAAACTGACACCTTTTTTACGAGGAGTCATGTTTGCATTGACCACAATACCTGCAGTCGGAATGCCTTTTGGCGTCATCTGGTCCAACACCAGTGGAGACTAGGCTCTAAGAAAAGCTGTCTCGGGTGTGGACCAATAAACTTCAAGGACGGTGCATAGATTATCAGAGTTGTGTTTTTTGTTTGCATTCCGACTGCAGGTATCGTGGTCAATGCAAACATGACTCCTTGTAAAAAAGGTGTCAGTTTTGTTGCCAGATAAAAGGGTAAAAAACCAATGATCATATTTTGCTACTGGCAAATGAGGTTCCAATGGTGTAAAGACAGGAATAGTTCGATTATCCGTGGGTGGATTATCCAAATGAGGTTAACCGCTGCTTGCCAAACCATTGACGTCTTAAAGCGCCCCTCGCGCTCGTCGCAGGCTCGGCGGGGGCCCGGTGCTCACGCGACGGCAAAAACACCGGCGAGAGTTCAAACGCCGCTGACTTTAGGAGGAAATAAAAATCAGAAGGCGAATCCATTCCAAGTTCATTAACCCCTCGATTAACGACCGTAATCAATCGGTACGTTTTCACTAGCCTCATTCACGCAAGTTTATTTTCCGGTCTTTATAATTATTATCAGAGTTTTTTTTTTGTTCGATCCGGGCCGCCCTTCCCCTCTCTCGCTACCGCGGATAAATCGAGAGTTGTCTTGTAGTGCCTGAAGTTACGGGGAGGGCGGCGGGGGGGGCGGTTGGTGGGGTTGTTGTCGCCGCTGCTGGGTGCGCACGCGCGACGACACGATCGCTTCAACGGTGCACAACAACAAAAACAACCATCTCACACCGAGCCATGCACCCACCAGGGGTGTGCCGTTAGCGAGCACCTGTTAAGAGCAGTCAAAGTCACACACGGATTGGTGTTGGACGAAAACACCACCAACCCAAGTACTAACAACAACCATCGATCACACGCTACGTACTCATGTTAGGCCGAGCTGACCTTTGCAGGGCCTCCAGACCGGTTTAAGAATTCAATCGCAAGCGTTGTGCACGGCCAGGTATCTGCTGCATACCACCAAACACATTTCGTGCAGTTCCACACCCAACTTTATAACCACAGTGGCGACTGTTCACAAAACGCACAAGGTACTGAATTAAGTCCGAGTAGACCTAGGGAAAGGCCTAGGAACGTTCCGGATAATCGCCACCTGGTTGCTGTTGGCCACGAGCAGGAATTGAATTCGGGTCGCTGGTTTTATGGCACAGCGCGCGAACCACTACGCTACTGCTCCCCAAGCATTGCACGCTCATGCACGCGCGCGATGTCCCCATCTTGCAAAAAAACTGGCAGAACCTGTTGTTTGAAGCGTTAATACCGACGTGCCCAAACACACGCGCGCACCACCGCCCACATTGGGCACAACACCATGTGCCTCCTCGTCAAGCTGGCGCACGTAGCGCAGAGACGACTCCCATCTGGACCGCGCCAACCGACGGCAGGCAGACGAGTGGGCAGGCAAGGGCGGGCAAGATAGCTGGAAGTGAAAATGTGTACGCGTAGTAGGTTTTTCGCAGCCGGCATTAATGATTTCGCAGTCGATTTTTTTTTGGGGTAAGGCCACGTCAACGATCGGCCCGAAAATTTGTTTTGGTCGGGACCCGCCACCACCCGACGTGGCCAAACTAAATCGAAATCGTCACACGTGCCAACCTTGAACGCGCCAATTGTTCATATTATTGTTCAGCTCAATGGCGAGTTTAAAGAACGATTCTAACAGATTTTGTCTTATTTGCTTGGCTAGATCGGGTCCTGGGGAGGGGGGGGGGTCTTAATGGCACAAATCTGGCCAGATCATTGCACGGCCTGACCCAAAAAAAGGCATTATGAGCTGCACTACCAAACTGCTAAACACAAACCGTAAAACTTAACCCCCAGGAGGGCCGATGGGGGTGGGGGGGTGGGGAGCTGGGGTTAGAGAGCATTTCTCCATGCAGAAATGCTGGCAATGACACCGAACTACCACCGCCATATCTATTGCGCGGCGGTTGAACTTACGACTCTCGCTCCGAGCAGGCTACTGGACGTACGGACCAGGTTTGTTCGTATCTGAAAGTTCGCAAGCAGAGTCCCTGATAATATCACCGCTGCCCGACAGCCGCTCACATTTGCTCAAATTGATTTTGACGGCGACCAGAGAGGAGAGGACCACAATGCACTTCTTCAGGTACCCGCTGCTGTTCCGTTTTCCGATGCGGTTTGATTTTTTGTCGTCGTCGTCATTTGCGCATTCGATTAGTGGGCACACGGCACACAGGCAAGGCAAGGCCAGGCACGTTAGTAGTTTGGGATCGTTGGTTGCGAGGGCTGACTTCCCTTCACCCCCGGTCCGTCACAGAGGCGCGCCACACCCCGCCCCCCCGCTGGCGGTTTAAGCGTCTCGGGGGCGACTTACTGAGCGCTGGTACAGTGGCTTGCGTCTGCGCTGAGCAGGATGCTGGCTGGAGGACGGATGTGCACGGGACTGGAGGATGGAAAAGAGGAGTGAAGATGGAAGTGGTGGAGGGGAGGGGGTGTGGGTGGGAGTTGGGTAGAGGGGGCACCAAGGAAACAGAAACAAGGAACCCTGCCCCCCCCCCCACCGCCGACAATTGTCCAAGCTCTGGTCCTACGTTGGTTATGTTCGAAGGTAGGGTTTGACGCGATATCACTTTTCGCTAGACTCGAGTAACACATTTTCACGACTTGACAATTAGAGCCATCAGTTCCCCATGACTCTGTAAAAGTTGCAATGCACGTTTGTACTGCATTGCTTTCGTCCTCCCAAGTAGGTAAAAAGCGTGAAAAATTATCAACGCAGGCCACGCAACATTAAGTGCCGTACCATGCCTTCTAATAATTATTGCAACTTCGCAGGCTATATCGGCAGGCTGTCAGCAAACGATGATGCGATATGTAACAGCTGTGGTGCCTTTAAAAAGCACAGATTTAAATGGGAGATACCTATTTATTTATAGCTTTAAACCATAAGCGAAAATCTTTGCTATTTCGTTGCATATTTTGCCAGGAAATTAATCGTCGGGAGAATATTTAACGGGCAATGACGACGATCGGGGAAAAAAGCAACATCTTGCAAGACGGATGATACAATAAACCGCGGCGATTGCCTCGATCGACGCCAACATTTTTCAAGTGACCAATCGACCACAAATGCCTTGCTGGACTTACAAATCGATTTGTGCGCTCACTGCGCGCGTACGGCATCCCGGCAACGTGCGAAACGATCGTTGTCGTGTTGTACTCGTCGTTATGCTATTGGTTCAGGCGACCCCCCCCCCCCACCACCCCTTGCAGCCAAATAATGCGCTACAATACACCGCAATGCCAAATAAAAATTATAATCGCAACGGCTTCCCGAATCGTAACTCCCGAGCGACTGCTTGCCCAACAAGGTTGCGTGCAACTAAATGACGCTTGTGTGGATGTCGCGCAAACTGGTTGCTTGACGCGGCGACAGAGTGTGCCTCCTGTTGAGCGATTCGGCTAAGCGACCGTTCGCTCCGGCATGAACCCGCGCCGTTTTTCCCCGTCGCGCGCGACTAGTGGCGACCCACGGAGAAACGTTGGCCAAGCGAATTGCCGCCGTCCACCGCGGCAGAAACGCTGTGCCGTGGAAAAAATCCCGGCGCGGACGTGGAGTCGAACCCAGGCGTCGTCGACGCACACTCACGGCGGAGCGGTGCGACGGGGAGACGCCCAGAGCGTGGGACGCGCGGACTGGCACGGGGCACCCACCACCAACGCCGCCGCCACCACCACCACTGCCACCGCCATCAGGACCCACGCACTCCAAGGGGCAGAGGGACACGGGGAACTCGGCCGTGGAAGAGAAACCCTTCCAAGCGTCGGCCATCGTCACAACCGTGCCGACTTTTATGGAGAAGGTGACCGAGCGGGAAGGGGGGGGCGGGAAGGAGAGGAGAGGAGAGGGAAGGCAGCAGCAGCATATGGAGAGAGGACAGGGCAGCGCAAGGTGCGTGTGGAGAGATGGATTTTTATCTTGTCCCGTCGGCTACAGCTCCTCCCGTAGGTGATAATTTTGACAATTTTTTTACTTAAACCACCCCGATATAAATTCGACCGTGCTATCCACGTCGCGTCAGGACATGACGAATCCACCAGAAACTCTCGCCGTGAGCAGTGCATCACACCCCGCGTGTGAGAATACGGCCCCCATCAAAGCGAACTTCAACGAAACTCCCAAGATGCCTCCAACTGCCCTTCCGATCCACGAATCAAGAGCGGGCACACACCTTCCCACCCGAGCTACTTCCGAGAAAATGTTGTATTTGAGTGCAGGATGCCTGGGGTTTCACGGAAGGAGATTGGGGGGAGGATGCGAGCAACTTGGGAGGTTTCCGAATGGAGCGTGGCACGAGAGTGTTACGGACTCATCTTCTTGGTTCTTTCGGTAAAGTCACGTAGAAGGGAAATAATAAAATAATAAAAATAAAACATAATAAAATAAGACGTTGTCTTTCCGACAGACCTGTTCTTCACCTGAGGACGGCTACTTGCGTTGTGGCCGAAACGTCGTGAGAATTATTTTATTATGTTTTATTTCTATTATTTTATTTCCCTTCTACGCGACTTTACCGAAAGAACCAAGAAGATGAATCCCTGCAGTCACGAAAGCTTTAAATCGAGAGTTACGGACGTCAAAATCGATCATACAACTGATGAGTCATAACAACGCTCTTTTTCACAGATGTCCAGTAAGGGAGGAGGGGGGGGCACAGGGTCCGAAAGTTGCAACAAACAATACTCAAGAAAACACGACGGGGGTGCAAAGTAGAGGGAAGGTAATTGAGGAATGGGGGAGAGGTTGTGATGGGTGGGATGCTTGCGCAGGATTGAGGGGAGGGGCAGGTGACCAAAACAAGTGACGAACTACAGTAGGGGTTCTACCCTAGAGGGGGGGTGGGGTGCGCGTGGATCCTCAAGGGATCATAACAGCTGATAGCGGACGACAACATTGTAGCTCTTGCACCCTGGGTATTTTCATCAAGTGTCAAAAAAAAACGAGCAAACAACCACGTTGGGATTGGTTGGGGTGTAAAGGAACAACGTGATTATAGGGGACAGGCTACCATTTACTCTTCCGAAAGCGCCGACCCCCGCTTGACCACCCGCCAAAATCCCGAACCGAAGGCGGCAGTTGTTGACATCCTGAAAAGAGCCCCCCCGAACGGCGCAGTCACGTGCAAACATCGGAAGAAAAACCCGATGAAAAAAACCCGTCACCGGCATGAGAAAGGGGTTAAAAGGAGGCACGACCGCTCAACGGAGAAACCTGCCGAAGGAAAAAAATAGGGGCGCAACGACCGGACGCTCGGCGGTTCAACGGCGTTGGGGGGGGAAGGGGGGCGCACACGGAGGGCGGAAGCGTGGTACGCACCTTGCTCGCGTTATATTTTTACTCGTATCGTAAATTGCAGTTGAAGGTATCTTCGTAAAGAGGTGCACGTTTCGTCACTTTGCTTTGCTTGCTTGCTTGTGATTTTGAGGAGGCCGCGCGCGACAGCTGTTGGGCTCACGCGGCGGTGCGCGGTGGGGTACACGGCACGCGCTGGCACACACGTACCACCACAGCGTACCACCACAGCGGCTGCTCGGTTGTTGGTTGTTGTTTTTTTTGTTAAAAGAGGTTGTGTAGACTGCAGCAGTCAGAGTGCCGATTCGAAGCTGTTGAGTAGGTACAAACTTGGCGACGCTGGATTCAAACTTGATTCGTCTTAAAGATTACAATTTTTACGTTCCCTTGTAGTTGTTCTCTGCTCGGTTTCTTTGGTATCTTTCTTGGCGCGGTGGAAATTTTTTACTTTTTTCTTTAGTTTTTACGTCGTTAGGTTGAGCAGCGTTTTCGTTTGTTTTTGTTCTCTTTATACCTCGACTTCAGATGGAATCCCACTTACTTCACAGCATACTGCAACAACACACACACACACAAAGCAACAGCAGACACACGTTAGAACTTTCATCTTATAAACTAAACTACTAAACAACGTTGTATTTGACCAAGTAAGGCACAGCTATAGAGCTATTTTTCAGATGTGACCTGGCCACAAATGATAGCTCAACGAAGTTGCTTATCATGTGGAAATTTATAGCAGCCAAAATGTGGAGGGAAAAACTGAATGACCCGGTAAAAAAATCCACGCGACCACGGGAGAACACGCAAACTCCATGTATACAGGCGTCAGGGTCGGGATCGAACCCACGACCTCTTGTACACCAGGCGAGGTAGTTAACATCTCCTAGCCACCGTGATGATGATGAGAGAGAGAGACACTCAAACTCCATGTATACAGCAGCAGGCATCAGGGTCAGGATCGAACTCATGACTTCCTGTACACCAGGCGAGGTAGTTAACATCTCCTAGCCACCGTTGGCACCTTATTTTAATGTATATACTTCCTTGACTAAGGCGCTGAAAAAGGAATTATACATTTCTACAGAAGATGATAATGCGTAATAAATAATGACACGCGAAATAAAATTATGAAACCGACGATGAACGAGTACGACGAGAAGGTAGGGAAGTTAGCAAAGGGGATGAAGTTCGTGATGGGGAAGCAAGAGGAGGATGAGGAGCTTGGGGTAAGCGAGTAAACGAGGGTTTTAAGGGAAGAACAACATTTGAACAGCGAGGCCGATTGTTCGCCGCGTAGGGGCAGTTGGTTTCGGGTGTAAGGGGGAGCCAGAAGCGAGAGAAAAAATGTAACGGTGATTGGGCACAAGGAGGAGGAACAGACAGCGAGACAGCTGGGATGGTGAGCGGAGGGGAGCGTGGAACGAAAGGAGAGAAGCGAGATACGTTGGGGCCAGACCACGGAGGGATTTGCACACGAGAGTTATCCCTTCGCGGGCGCGATAGTTTGCGCTGAAAACAGACAACTACAGTAAAACCTTGGATTGCGAGTAACTTGTTCTGTGAGTGTTTTGCAAGACGAGCAAATTTTAAAAATAAATATTAATTCGATAAACGAGCGAGATCTTGCAATACGAGCAGTACGTGTATACGCTTTGTCTGCCGAGCGTCACGTGATCACAACTGATATACCAGTGCTTTGATATACGAGTGCTTTGGATTACAAACACGTTTCAGGAACGAATTACGTCTCGCAATCCAAGGTTTTACTGTACTAGAAAACGCACTTCTCAACAATGAACAAATGTTCATATTATTTTTCACCAACGCTAGCAGTGCGCAGTCCAAAGGCCGTGGATGGACCTCATGCCCTCCCTCCTCCTAGCCAGCCAGCCAAACTTTTCTCAAACATAGTATGATAGTGAGAATAGGTTTTGCCCTTTTCTGGCAACAAAACAAGTGTTCAGATGTTAAAACACCAAACTGAAACCTTTTACAAGGAATCATGTCTGCATTAACCACAATACTTGTGGCCAGAATGCAAACAAAAAAAACACACTCTGATGTTTTAACATCTTAACACAACTGTTTTGTTTCCAGAAAAGGGGAAAACCTATACTTATATTTTGGTACTGGCAAAGGAGGTCCCATGCTATAGTATGACAGTGTTATAAAGTATACGGCACATTTGCACAGCATCCAAGGCCGGGGTGGTGGAGAGCGATTGGGGTGGGAGGGGCGTGAGATGAGCGCAATGCAGGAATCAGACTCAACGCTGTGGGATTTCGTGCAATGTTATTGATGTCATTGCGCAAGAATCCAGCCAGCACAGCTTTCTTTTCCCTGACATGATAATGAATTCTTTCCCAAGAAAACGAGTTATTGCACAACACACACGTCCAAGATGCTCAAAGCGTACATCTGAACACCACATTTTAGATTTGTTTGCCATTGCCTCCGGTTGTGTAGATTACTTCATGGGTCAGCATTGCAACAAACTGCCAAATCAAACACTCGTCTCAATCTGTAACAACTCAACGCCACTTGGAGGGATGGGTTATCGACTTTGCTACGATGGACCCCAGTAGCAGCAGCCGTCAAGACGATGGTCAAAGTGTGGTGGGGCGAGACACATGTTGTCATTGCTCACGTGACAGCTGAACCTTGACTTTATTCTCAGTGCGCCTTAAAGCGTCATCTGGTCCAACACCATGTGAGACTAGGCTCTAAGAAAAGCTGTCTCGGGTGTGGACCGATCAATTTCAAGGACAGTGCATACATACATTATCAGAGTTGTGTTTTTTGTTTGCATTCCGACCGCAGGTATTGTGGTCAATGCAAACATGACTCTTTGTAAAAAAGGTGCCAGTTTTTTTGCCAGAAAAAAGGGTAAAAAAAAAACAATGATCTTATTCTCAGTCTTATTCGTAATGGTCCAAAACTACACGCGCGGATGTCCATCAGAAAAGACACACACGTTTCATATGCAGGTCTATTCCGGTAGAATTTGCATTAAAAGTCAACGACGCAACAAGAGAAATCCAGTCGGTATCCAGATTTGATTTTTTTGCGGGTGTGGAATTACTTTGCTCGATCTGGAATGCGAACGTGGCTATTTTTGGGGCATGGTAAATCCACTCCAGTTGGCAACTGCAAAACGCCAAGCCGTGCGCGGGAGACTTAAGAGCAACAGCATGTGAACTATGTTAGAGATTGTCGTTGGCTTAAGGGTGACCCCCCCCCCACAAACATGCAAGCAGTTGAGATAGAGAGAGGGCCTCCAGTGGAACCTTATCGCGCTCGAGAAACACGCTTTCATTTGAGTCCAAGCTTCTCCGCGCTCAAAGCAACACATCGCCGGCTCTGCTCACCACTGTCCACGACTGGCCACCAAGCCAACGGTGGAAATTCCACCACTGCTACGACCGACCGGGGGAAGCCTTCGCGCAGAACTCACGGCTGCAGCGTGAGGCACGGGTTTGCCCCAGGTTGAGAGATTATACCTCGGGAGATGAGCTGTATTAAACGAATCGATTCGGTGCGGTGCGCTTTGCCGTGCATAACTCCAGTGGCTTCCTAATATCGGAAGAGCGTTCCAGACGGCCGCAGAAGCACATCTGAAAGTGCGCGAAGGGGTGATCACAGTCTTTGCTCGATGGCTCAGCCAAAAGCCTCTGCGAGGATGACCGGAGTTCGCGTGATGATGATTTATGCTCCTTAACGAGATTAGCAGGGTATTGTGATTCATTTGTGGCAAGCGCTTTGTGTGTGTGTGTGTAGTGAACGCGACCTCATGACGTATTCGTTCGGCAACGGGAAGCCACTGGACGATTCCTAGAGGCCCTTTATAAATGGCAACCTCGCCCCACATCATACTTCCTGAGCGCGACCAACGCTCGGCTTGACGCGGCTGACAACGCCTCCCATTCAGCGGCAACGCATGGTTTCAGAGGTTAAGGTTTTTTATATTTTTCCCCGTACCAAACTACGTTTGTGTTATCCGATATGAGCAGGCATCGAACCCAATAATCGGCAGAGCAACCGATCATTGAACTAGCCGAATGACCCCGCTGTACTCGTGCATGATTATTAAGCGATGCTACTGCTTCGGTGGTGCCGAGCACAAATAAGAAAACGACTCAACGACCACGTCAACGGTACTGCCTTGAGAATGAAAAGGTGTCGTAAAATGGGCTGTGTTTGGGGAAAAGGGCCCTTCATAACAGAGGGGGAGAGAGGCCAGAGGCTCCATAAACCAGTTTACACCGAGAAAGGAGAGTGAAAATGCAGGGCATCCCTTTTTGTTGCCCTGTAGCAACACTTCCCGTATCTGCAGGGGACATTTTAAACCGTTAGCTTAAGATGACTAACGTTCCAGGCAGCAATGCTGCGATCCTAAAATAAAAGCAACAGAAATAACTATGACATAACAGGAAAAACACAACTGTTGACGCATTACCTAGAGCTCTTGAAATAAAAAAAAATGTGACTCGCCATGTAAAAATGTAATATGTTTTAGTCCATCGGCCCGTGTGGTTTTCAGACGAATATTATTCGGAGGCATTTGTTTAGGCAGGCAATATTATGGGCAAGTTTGATCGTTTGGATCTCATCAGCAGTCAAGGCTTTGCTGCTGGAATGTAAGTGCCAGAGCAGCGCTTTTGAAAATCAGGGCACTGATCAATCCAGAAGTGTCTCACTGGCTTAACGCGGCTGATGATACAAAAATGGTTGAACCAGTCCAGCAAGTGCCTGTTTAATATTGGATGATAAACAATATTGGTCCAAAACAACTGTCGGCTGTAAAATTAAAACAGCGATCCGTTTACGACCGAATTCTCCTTAATAGAATACCCACTTACTTCCCTTATTTAAATCAAATGCTGGCGGTGCATTTTATAATCTGGGAGGTATGCGTTTGTGTGCGCGTGTAATCACATTTGGGTAACTTCATTGACATCGGGCACAAGTTTGGGGTCGATTTTACTTTCAGGAGAGTGTTTTTTTTCTAATCCAGGGAAGAAGACACCTATAATATCCTGTGCACCTCCAATTAGCACGGTTGGCTATGTACGGAGTTCAACATACATACATACATTCCACAAAAATGCAAAATTCGTGTTTTTCCTATACCTTTTCAACCTCATGTTTCAGTCCTCCCAGCACTATTTAATGCGCGTTTCTTTACAGCACATGATCTGACAGGCCATCATTAGCAGCAGCAGCGGTCACGCCACTGGCGAATGGCCTCCACATACGACCGCCAACCGCCACAGTCTTGTGACTTGGCCGATACAACGCGACACTGACCCCTGTAATTAGACAAGGCGAAGCCAATGAAGTGTGCTTCATACTTAAGTGGGGGACCTTTCAAAACGTTCGCACGGTGGTGTACGAACACTGACAAAGTGTCTGCTTCGATTACCATCTCCGGGTCCTTCGCAGCACCGCACGGTGGCGAGATGTCGACTACCTCGCCTCATATGCAGGAGGTCATGGGTTCGATGGAAACTCTGATGCCTGTTGTATATTTGGGAGTTTGCGTGTCTCTCTTCCCCTCCTCGTGGCCGTGTGGATTTTTCTCCGGGTCCTCCAGTGGCAAGATGTTAACTACCTCGCTTCATATGCAGGAGGTTGCGGGTTCGATCACGACCTTGACGCCTGTTGTATATTTGGGAGCTTGCGTGCCTCTCCCTCTCGCTCCACCCCGTGGTCACGTGAATTTGTCAGAGTCCTCCAGTTTTTCCCCTCCACATTTTGAATCGATACGCGTTTTAGAGTATTTGGCTGCTATACATTTCCACGTGACAGGTCACTTCGTTGGGCTATCATTTGTCGCCAGGTGGCCTCTGAAAAAGAGCTGTATAGCTCAGTGGGCCCTAACTGGTAAAATAAAAATCAAGGCACACCGATTTCACACCCAGTGATCCTTAACCGGAAACAAAGGCGACAGAGACCCGTTTCCCAATTCTTAGGATCTTCTTCTTTCGTGTGGCTGCTGATGTAGATGCAGACCAACAACTACAATTTCAGATTGAGGTGGTCAAAGCCAGATCACTGCGTCAGGAGCAGCGGAGTGTATCGGTGTGATGTCTCCTTCATGTTTGCAGATCGGTCATTGCGTCGTTATACGGTCCATTCTGGATGACCACAGTCGCACACGAGGGAGTTGTTAATTTTCCATTTGTGCAGTGGATGCGATTTAGGGTCGCCCATGAGCTTCGTGGAATATAAAACCCAGGGATCTTCTGCGTTGGCTGCGAGTTCTTTTAAAACTCCATTCTGATCTCCAATCTTCATCGCGGGTGGCAATGTAGATCCCACGCATCTGCATGACCACGCAACACGTTTGGTGAATTTCGGCGTACCAGGCGATTGCGGGCCATGGCTCAGGGCTGTTCTGCGACCGCGAGATGACAAGCGGCCAAACTTCACGATGCTGGCGAGTTGCGGGTTGAGTTTCACCATGCCTTTTAACTCACACTGGGGAAAACCCCCAAACCTCACCGGGGCTAACCAAGCACACGTCGAAACGGCTGCAATGATGTGTTAACCTAACAAAAAGTCAGCCTCAGCCACAGTAATAACAATTACAGTTCACATATCACCTTTCATAAAACCTCAAGGCATTTTACATTGACGATAATGGTGTGGGGGGGGGGTAACAAGTGGCTACGTAAAAATAATATTGTATCGTGTCATTATTTACCATGCCGTTTCATTGCATTCGAATGATTGTATTACATTCTTTTAAAGTTACGGGAACAGAATTATGCCAACTCCACACAATCTCTAATTTACGTTACGGAAGAAGATAAATACCTGTCAATGTAGAACGGTTGAGCAAGGTTGAGTTGAGAAGATATTTTACTATTGGCAGTAACTAACGTTAGAATTCTAGGTCTCGCTAGTTTACAATAGACAAGTAATTTTTTTAAGGTTATCAAAGCAATACTTAAATCTCTATATCGATCTGCTTTTATTGTTTTCTACGGTATGTGTAATTGTAGTACTTTCTGTTTAACACCTTCCTATTGGTTGCTGTTGTGATAATACAATACTCTATAGACAATAAACACAACAGCAGCATTGCTTATTTGGAAAAGAAAAGTGTCATCATTAAGAGGTCAACGAACCACATGAGCAGGCCGTGTTTATGAAAGGTTCCTCCGAGTGCCGACATATTCTATCTTATATTAAAAGGAATATACTCTTTGGGTCTTTCGTTAAAGTCACGTAGATAGCAACACAAGCAATCGTCTGATTGCTTGTGTTGCGATCGAAACGTCGTGAAATATTTGTTTTTCTATCAACGTGACTTTACCGAAAGACCCAAAGAGTATGAATTCCTGCAGTCACGAAAGCTTTAAGTGAAGCTGTAAAAGGAATACTGAAATTAAAGTAAAATACTAATTTCCAGGCCTTTGTGAACCATGACAAGGCGTGTGACTTGAGAAAATTTGATCGAGTTATCCAAGCTCTGAGAAACCAAGGTACTAAAAATATATATTTTAAACTATATTTTTTACAAAGACTGAATAGGTCAAAAGTACAGTACAATGAGGCTACATGAAGGTAAAGAAAATACGTCTTTTATACAAATATACCTACCAGGGTAAAGCAACGAGAAATGCTTTCACGTGCCATTCGAGGCAGCGTGACAAGTTTTTTTCGGAAAATAGTTTGGGAGAAATGAACCTTGAAAACATAAATGGGGTATTTATATATACTCTATGGTTCTTTCGCTAAAGTCACGTAGAAAGAGAAAATAATAAATTAAATAATAGCATACGACGTTTCGATTGCAACACAAGCAATCATCATCAGGTACAAGTGAAAGAAAACAAAACCTAGTAACACAGAGTCGGCTAACATAACAGTCAATACCCTACCTGGTTGATTACGTTCTTCCAAAGATTGCTAAATTTAGGAGAGATTAAACACAGACAGACACGTAAGCAGAGAGAGATAACACAGAGACACACACAGAGAGACAAACACATAGATACATATAAACTCAAGATTTGCTGATGTAAGTCATGAGAATAACCAACGGAAATATACTCAAGGAAGAGAGTTGAACCGAATTAAGAGGATTGCTCAGATGGTTTAACAGTCGGCAAACCATGAGCAAACCCACGGGATGGACAACTGGAAATGATCGTAGAATGTTTACTTCTTGAGTTATTGTAGCAGATCCGAGCCGCTTTTGCCCACTAGAACTTGACAAATAAAGCAACGTATACAGCACCAAATGACCTAACAAAGAACAGTTTTCTCACGCGTACAAATGACGTCCAACGACACATGTGGCCAAGAAACACGTAAACCGAACCACAAAACTTGACATTAAAGTTTGTAAGTGCGCAAAAGAAGCATAGAGTGGTGAATGAGGGAATTGCATTGCGAAAATATTAAAAGGGGGCACACACACACGCGCAAAAGATCGGCGCAGAAGATGCGCAATTTTTGACCGGGACCATGGTGACTTAACAAAACTCGGTGGGGCTAGGGCAGGCCACGCTGCTGCTGCAAGCGTTGGTCGGTAGCTGGTTTGGGTTTATAAATTCGCGACTGAGAGAATCATTCACCGACAGAGATGGAGGCACGAAATCCCCCCCTAAAAAATAAAACGTTGTCAAGGAGTAAAATGGAATTGGATTATGAGGGATGGAGATATGGACCCAGAGAGAGGCCTGAATCCAGCAGTGATGATAAGATCGCGGCAGATATGTAACATTATTTAATAGTGTGTTTTACGTCTATTAATTAATACACGTATGCGTCCAATATCGATCAAGTATTCAAGGGCTTAAATCAGTTTTTTTGTTCGCACGTCAAGGTAGTGTGTGCTCAGCGATGGGGCAAAACAAATATGTTTTGCGATGCTTGTGTTGGTCGTGCCAACCTCGCACAAATAACAACCACCCTAATAAAGGAGACCCGCAGCGCTCTCTTGCCATTAACGTCGCCCGATAACATCGCCGATTATTGTTTTTCAAATTGGGCAGTCTTATTCAAGTTCATTTATATTAGGTATAGCCCTGTGAGCCATTCGGCTCTTGAATAGGGTGCAACCGCAACAAACAAAAACATGAACAAAAAACATCTTAAAGTGAATACGTGACCGAGTGCAAACAGAAAATCCAAGAAATTGACCGACTAATGTGGCGAAGCTTGTTTTTTTTTACCAACTCAACACCAAAGTGGGGGATATGAACGGAAAGCGTGGGGTAGGCAGTCATCCAGCAGTGGATTGGAATAGTCTGACACTCAAACGTACGTGGCGCGCTTCCCGTATGAGCCACATCATTACAAGAATCACGTTCTCCCAGCTCCTGTATTCCTTAACAAAAAGTCGCGGTCGCGTCTTATAAACCGCTGGTTTGTATAACTTTGGGACCTTTTTTTGCCAGTATCAAAGTATTATATATTATCATGAATATATTATATATTATCAGAGAATGTTTGTTTGCATGTCCACTGCATTTACCGTGTGGTTATAGCAGTAACAGGATTCCTTGCAAAAGCTTTCAATTTGGCGTTTGAACATCTTAGCACCTGCTTTCTTGCTAGAAAGGGTAAAACCTATTTTTTCACAACTGTATAACTTACTTGACAACGGACACGCAATTGGGGTGCGTTTTATTCCCCTAGCTTCTTACAATACGTACATGCGTATGAATGTATACGTACTGCGTGAACATAACCTTTGGCCTATAGGGGCACATGTTTTTCATGTTATGCTGGAGGTGAGGGGGGGGGGTCCTAAATAACGTCAACTACTTACGTAACGCCTCTCAAGTAAACACAATCGCCACAACAATAAACGCAAAGTCTGAAAAACATCAACGAACTAAGAGCGACCAAATCCGAAGCGGATCTCTCCACGCCGAAAGATTTTTTTCCTCGCAGCCACCGCGGTCTTGCCTGACGCTCCCCGGCGGGAGGCCTACGCGCAGGCTCCGGGCGGAATGCTCAGGCAAGTGAGGCCGCACACGCGTAACGCCACTTGCGTCTAGCGATCGGCTCGAGCTACCCCCGCCACGCGACGCTCGGCGCGGGATGCCGAGAGGCGCCACGGAGCAGCGGCGCTCGATGAAGCGAGCCGGGAGATCGGCCGAACGAGTCAAAAGAACAAAGACTTACCCCAACAGCACACAGCAACTCCGCGCCGCCATATGCAGCACGGCACTTTTAGGGGGGGAGGGGGGAGAGTGAGGGAGGGGGTGGGCGCCCGTCCGCTTAGCCAATTAGAGAGCTCCGTCGAACCCACGCGCCCCCTACGTCATTGCGTACTCATTGCAAGCCGCGTGCGTCTGTTGTGACGGACGCATGGTAAATTGGCTCGTGACGTCATCACGTCAAGCCATCACCCTCCACATGACGTCATCACGTCAAGCCATCACCCTCCACATTACGTCATCACGTCAAAGAGTCCCCCTCGGCCACGCCCCCTGACGTCATCGCGCGTGGGGGTCTTGCCGAGCGTGAGGTCGCCTACGCAGTTTGAAATGTTACACGACGTCATTGCGCACACAGCCACCTGTTGGATCTGCGCGTGACGTCGTTACGTCATCCCCCGCCTGACGTCATCGCGTAGGGTCTTGCCGAGCGAGAGGTCGCCTACGCAGGTTTAAAAAGTTACACGACGTCATTGCGCAAACCCCCGCCGTTGTATTGCACGTGTTGTCATTACGTCAAAGCGCCGTGGTCTGTGTGCGCAGCCTGAAATGTGGCTCTGTCGAAGACGTCATTACGTTGTGGTTAATGTTGCTGTGACGTCACCACGTAAAGCCAACGCGCGAGCGTCGTGACGTCATCGCGTCGGTCAGCTGCCGCGCAGACTGAAGTACCGTGGCTTGATGACGTCACTGCATCGGCTCTTTGCCTTTAACGCGTGACGTCATTCTTAAACCGCGTGAAGTGTGCGTCGTGACGTCATCGCGTCGGCTCGTTACCTTTAACGCGTGACGTCATTCTTAAACCGCGTGAAGTGTGCGTCGTGACGTCATCGCGTCGGGCAGCTGCCGCGCAGACTGAAGTACCGTGGCTTGATGACGTCACTGCGTCAGCTCTTTGCCTTTAACGCGTGACGTCATTCTTAAACCGCGTGAAGTGTGCGTCGTGACGTCATCGTGCTTTCGTCCACGTCAAATCAAGATTGATTTCCTGCACGTGTTCATGAGTGAAATATCGTGAGTCCGCTATAGGCCACGTTGTCAGCAGAGGGCAGTGCAGTAACATAAAGCACCGTACAAGGAACTCCTCTAGCTACAAACGAGTTAGGTTAGATCTTCTTGGTTCTTTCGGTAAAGTCACGTAGAATGGAAATAATAAAATAATAAAATAAAACATAATAAAATAATTCTCACGACGTTTCGGCCACAACGCAAGCAGCCGTCCTCAGGTGAAGACCAGGTCTGTCGTTGTGGCCGAAACAGCTGTCTCCCCGACAGACCTGGTCTTCACCCGAGGACGGCTGCTTGCGTTGTGGCCGAAACGTCGTGATAATTTTTTTATAATGTTTTATTTTATTATTTTATTATTTCCATTCTACGTGACTTTACCGAAAGAACCAAGAAGATGAATCCCTGCAGTCACGAAAGCTTTAAATCGAGTTAGGTTAGAGTTTTCATTTATTTATTTCATTTTATTTAATTTCAATTATTTGGTATAGCCCTGTGAGCCATTCGGCTCTTGAATCGGGTGCAACCGCAACAAACAAAAAACATGAACAAGAAAACATCTTAAAGTGACTATGTGACTATGTGCAAACAGAGGTCTGTTCGTAAGTCGATTTGTTCGTAACTCCAAACTTTACTTATCTAGATTCCAAACGTGTTGTACGGCGTGTACACGAAACACGGGGGAAGGCTTTTAAGGTGTTATAATCTCCTGCAGATGTAGATGCCACTGGTTCTTCATGTTCTGCAGATGTAGATGCCACTGGTTCTTCATATTCTGCAGATGTAGATGCCACTGATTCTTCACGTTCTGCAGATGTAGATGCCACTGATTCTTCACGTTCTGCAGATGTAGATGCCACTGGTTCTTCACGTTCTGCAGATGTAGATGCCACTGGTTCTTGACGTTCTGCAGATGTAGATGCCACTGGTTCTTCACGTTCTGCAGATGTAGATGCCACTGATTCTTCGCGTTCTGCAGATGTAGATGCCACTGGTTCTTCACGTTCTGCAGATGTAGATGCCACTGGTTCTTGACGTTCTGCAGATGTAGATGCCACTGGTTCTTCATGTTCTGCAGATGTAGATGCCACTGGTTCCTCACGTTCTGCAGATGTAGATGCCACTGGTTCTTCACGTTCTGCAGATGTAGATGCCGCTGGTTCTTCACGTTCTGCAGATGTAGATGCCACTGGTTCTTCACGTTCTGCAGATGTAGATGCCACTGGTTATTCACGTTCTGACTTTACCGAAAACACCTAATAGTATGAATCCTTGCAGTCACGAAAGCTTCAAGTCTAGAATCTTCACGTTCTACAGATGTAGATGCCACTGGTTCTTCATGTGCTGCAGATGTAGATGCCACTGGTTCTTTACGTTCTGTAGATGTAGATGCCATTGGCTCTTCACGTTCTACAGATGTAGATGCCACTGGTTCTTCACGCTCTGCAGATGTAGATGCCACTAGTTCTTCGTTCAAGTTCAAGTTCATTTATTAGGTATAGCCATGTGAGCCATCCGGCTCTTGAATCGGGTGCAACCGCAACAAACAAAAAAATTAACAAAAAACATCTTAAAGTGAATATGTGATTAAGTGCAAACAGAAAATCCAAGAAAAGACAGCAAAATATTGCAGAAAAAACACCGTACACCAACGTTGTGTGCAAAAATGCCAGTGGGATGCAAGTCAAACAACAACAACCACAAGACAACTTAGATTAAGGCCATCAGTCTAAATCTGTACCACAACAAACAAACCACTTTTTTCAATTTTCTTGCTGTGGTTTTCACACCTGATGATGATTGCTTGTGCTGCAATCGAAACGTCGTGAGAATTTTATTGTTTTATATTTTTATTATTTTATTGTTTCCCTTCTACGTGACTTTACCGAAAGAACCAAGAATATCTTAACACCTGTTTAATTGCCAGAAAGGGTGAACTATCTTCTTATGTATCACAGCTATCTATGGGACCTTTTCGCCAGAATCAAAGTATGAAAACGAATAATAGGAATTAAAAAGTAACAATAGTTTTTTTACCCTCAATAAAAGAGATACATTGCAAAAGGTGTACATATCTTAACCAACTACCCAGCTTGTTTGAATAGTTTACGTTTTTAAAAATAGTTTTTAACAGAATGATGTCCTGTGTATCTAAGGGCATGCCAACCTCTGAGATGACAACAACCACTTAACCAACTCTCGTAATCCAGGAGGGTTTGATTGAACACGTCCTGTTCAAACAAGCTGATGAGTGGTGGAAACATGTCCACAGTGTTGCTTGCGTAACCAACTATTGCTGAATGATATTGGTCTGGGAAATCAGTAGACCGATGAACTAAAACATTTGTATTTATGCGCGGAGACTCGGAACGGAGTCAATTCTGCTATGGACTTTTAAATGTAAAATTAAAACTAATTTCTTTAGAACTGCTTTGCTTCGTGTTGTGTTAAGTTTGTCATAGACAACCTAGCACGGTTTTCTATGTTCGGTGCGAAAGAAGCCCAACGTGCAGACATCGACTCACACAGAGACCCATAGACTCACACAGAGACCCAGAGACTCACACATAGACCCATATACTCACACAGAGACCCATAGACTCACACAGAGACTCACACATAGGCCCATAGATTCACACAGAGACCCATAGACTCACACAGAGACCCATAGACTCACACAGAGACCCACAGACTCACAAATAGACCATAGACTCACACAGAGACCCATAGACTCACGCATAGACCCATAGACTCACACAGAGACCCAGAGACTCACACATAGACCCATAGACTCACACAGAGACCCACAGACTCACAAATAGACCATAGACTCACACAGAGACCCACAAACTCACACATAGACCCATAGACTCACACAGAGACCCACAGACTCACACAGAGACCCGCAGACTCACACATAGACCCATAGACTCACGCAGAGACCCAAATACTCACACATAGACCCATAGACTTCGTAATCATCACCATCATCGATACCCTCCTTCACCATTGTGTTCATTTTCATCGTTATCAGTGTCATCATCATCCTGATTGGTATTATTATAATCCTCCTCATTGTAATCATCACTATTATCAATGTCCTCTGCAATCATTGTCATCATCATCAATGTCATCTTCGTCATAATAAACAATTGTTGTCGTTATCATCATCATCGGTAACATCCTTCGGCATGGGGGAAGTAAGACTGCATCTAGTTTCATAAATACAATTTTATTTTTTAAACATGTGTCATCTCGAGACCGAAGTAAACAATTACGTGCGCAGCGTGCTGTCTCCACGTGTTCGGTTCATCCGGATAATCGATCGGGGCGGATGATGCATTCGTTTACAACACCCTTGCAAACTTCCAGACGCAACTGTTTTCTCTCTCTCCATCTCTCTACTCTTTCACGGGCCTAAGTTTAAGAATAAGAAAGTCAAAAAAATCCAGTGCCCCTCTGCCAATTTCAAAAATAGCTGCTGCTGCTGCTTCGAATGACACTCCCGGTGACTCGATTCGTAGCGCGTTGCGCTCGCCACAGCGCCACCGCTCCACGCCCAGCTTAATTTAGCCGCAGTGAAGGCGCCTAATTCGTCCGAGGGCGTGATGTTAAAGACCTCATCTGGCGATGGCGTCATCCAAGACACGGACTCCTGGGCAATCGGCGAGGGATGATCCACCTCTCAAGTTGTGGCTCAGAAACCTTTGCTGCTGAGTGTGGCGAGAACTCAAGAGGCCAGGACGAGTCTCACGTTGGCGAGTGACCTGCGGTATTAGTCTGCCATCATCATCACGTTGGCTGGGAGATGTTAACTACCTCGCCTGGTATACAGGAGGTCGTGGGGTCGATCCCGACCCGGACGCCTTCTGCTGTATATTTGGAGTTTGCGTCTCTCATCATCATCACGGTGGCTAGGAGATGTTAACTACCTCGCCTGGTACGCAGGAAGTCGTGGGTTCGATCCCGACCCTGACGCCTGCTGCTGTATATTTGGAGTTTGCGTCTCTCATCATCATCATCATCACGGTGGCTAG